GAAATCGCTTTTCGAGCTGTGTCCCTCCGCCGGCGACTGAGGTCCAACGACCGAGGCAAAAACGGGAAACGTCGGAATCGAGCGACCATCCCTGACTTGGGGGGATGCTGGAGATAATGATGATGCTTTTTGCGCTGCACAACTGCAGCCGCCAGAGGCAGCTCGGCCACACTGAGTGGCAGCAGCCAGAATCATGTACGAACCTGCTAGATCATTGGCCCGAGATCGTTCCCGAGCACCTCCCATGAGTCGAGGCTCGCCTCTGGGATCGTCGGCAACGGAGGACGCGTCGTAGTTGCCGTTGTTGCTCCCGACACGGTCGGTGCTGTAGTAGTCCTCGTCCCGTACGGATCGGTGACCGTCCAGGGGTCCCCGCCTGCCACTGCCGCCTGGTCGTCGATCGGCGGCGGGTAGGACGGCGGAGGAGGACTGGCTGCCCCGGACGAGGATGCCGCCGCCGAGCTGTCCGCGCCGATGGCCGCTGTCGGGGCCTGGTGAAAGGGAGCTGCTGCCACCGCTGCCGCAGCTGCCTGCTGAGGAACGTGCCACTGGTCCTCGACCTGCTGCCCCCCGTTGGCCACGTGCGCTATGGCCGCCACCGCCGTGCCCACGTTCACGAGCATGAATCCGATCTGACCGATCGCAGTCTCCATCCCGGAGAGCGTGCCCGCAATGGCGTTGACCGACTCCTGGAGTGTGTCGATGGCTATCGCGAAGTCCGCCATCCCGGTGAGCTGCGTCTTGATGGCAGTGATGCCCTGGAATATCTGCTGGAGTCCTTCCTCCATCTGCGTAGGAAACTGCTGGGTCTGCGTCGCAACCTGGATCATCTGGTCCACCACCGACTGCACCTGACCCAGCGCACGAACTCCTTCTGGAATCGCCTGAAGCTGCCACTGGAGACCCTGGAGCAAGCCGTACAGCTGATTCACCGTCGTCAGCGCCGCGCCTCCCGCCTTGAACTGCGGGTCGCTGGTCAGGAGGTCCACCGCCCTCTGAGCGGATGACGCCGCTGCCCGCGCGGCCTCGGCCGCTGTCGGCACTGCCGGTGCACCTCCTGGACCAGCGCGACCTCCGGGAATCCATGCGATGCGTGCTCCGCAGAGAGTGCACCTCGATCCCGAGCCGTGCTGGTTCCCGTAGTACTTGATCGCCGAGGCTGGGTGACTGCAGTGGGGCGCTGCCTTGGGGGGTGGCTTCCCCGCCGCTGGCCCGAATAGCGCCCCTGGCGTCGGCGCCGTCGCTCCTCCTCCAACTGCCGTGGCGGCCGCCGTCCCCTCCGCTGCTGCAGCCGCTGGAGGCGGTCCTGATGGCAGAGGTGGCTGGCCGCGGTGCTCGACGCCCGCCTGGGCTAGGGCATACAGCGCCTGGGGCATCGTCGGCTGGATGGTCCCCTCGATCGGTGGAGCCGGGGGCCACTGAGACGCTGCGGCTGCCGCCCCCCGCACCGCTGGCTGTGGTCTCGATGCGGGTTGCTGCTGCTGAAGGTGTGGAGGAGGTGCCTTCACCACCAGGGGGCTCGCTGCGGCCTGGGCGGGTCCGAGGCTCGTCGGTGTCGGCAGCCCTTGTAACGCCGCGAGCGCCTGGTGCTGCTGGTCGCCCGAGGAGCTGCTGACTCCGGGCGACTGCTGGGGCATGGGCACGTCGCTGCCCGCCGCCGCTGTCGCCTCGCTGTGTGCCGCCGAGCCGGCTGCTCCGGCCGAGGACTCGAACACCTCTGAGGACACCTCGGAGTCCTCCTCTCTCTCGGCGTGGCGTCGCGCCAGCAACTCCTCGGTGAGCTGCTTGGCAACAGGCTCCTTCTTCTTGCCTCCGACGGCGGGGTGCGTGCCGAGAGCCAGCACCATCGCTACACGAAACATGAACATGGAGTGAATCGCCCAGGATATGACTCCGAAGGCGATCGAGATTGGAAACTTGGAATCGCCTGAACGAGTTTGAGCCCAAACTGGCTACGGAAATCACCAGGACAATCTGAACCCACATGGTTATCGCCGAGAGACCGAGAGCCCCGAGGTCGTAGATAGCCCTACACGCTGAACCGAGGTCGAGGGCTCTGGTCGTCTCGCTGGCCTGGTTCTGGTGGTACTCCTCATCCTTAGCTTCTCCGCGGGATCCCGAGGCCCGGACCGTCGCTAGGCCGCTCCACTGAGCTCGCGGCTGGTGCTGGTCGCTAAACTCGAGCTCGATCGATAAGTATTGTCCCTGGATTCGGCCCCGGCGTACGTTACCGTGCTCGATCCGATTGAAGCTGAGGGGTAGGAGGTAGAGGACAACCCTGTAAGCGCTCATCTCTCCGCTGGCGCTCATCGCAGGTGACAGTTGTCCAGTGGCCAGTGCAAAAGAAGACGCTGTCAGAAAAGGATACTTCCGAAGCGCACTGTCAGGGGTAGTGTGGCTCCCCTTAGTCTCCCGCACGATATCGGCCATGCGGTGACCGGAGCCCAGCTTGGCGACAGGAATGTCCTGAGCTAGAAACTGCGAAATCAGAAGATTACGAGGAAGGTCGAGCACGCAGCCTAGGAAATCCAGCAGATTGACGCTCAGTATGTGCGGAACGTCCTCGTTCAGCACAGTGGCCTCCACGACTCCCATCACTCCGCCGAGGCACATCGGATAGAGGATGGTACAAATCACTTTTGCCTCGCCTCCGATGCCATGCGCCTTCTTGGGCGCCTTGAACTCTCCTGGTACTACTACGTAGCGAAGGCCGTGACGAGCCAGCGCCTCGGCCTCTCGGTTCAGTGATGGCAGTCCCACTATGTCGCTGCCGGCCCCTGGGTCCACGAGGCCCTGCGTCACAGAGGCGTTGAGGTAAACCTCGATGGCCTGCGCCTCCTTCCGGATGTCCTTCAGCTTCTCGAGCTCGTCGTTGTTCATGATCGGGTAGCTGCAGCCGTCGAATGTGTACCCGGCCAGACCTCGCTTTGACCGATCGGGACCCTTGCCGCCGTCTTCCTTCCGCGGCTGGGGACACTCCCGTGACCAGTGGCCCTTCTCGTTGCAGTTCTTGCAGCGGGTGACCTTCATGAGCCTGAGGATCCTCTGGCTCGTGGCGCCGGCGTCCCTCGGCCTATCTCCTCGGCCTCGTCCGCGCGCGCGGCCTCGGCCTCCTGGGCCGCCTCGGCCACCCCCGCCACGGCGTCCATCGTCGTCGCCCCGGCGAGGTCGGGCACCGTAGAACTCGCGGTCCTGCTTCGCCGCGCGCTTCAGGTCCTTGTTCTGCTTCCAGGACCTGCGCTGCACCTTGCCCGTCATCTGCACGAAAGCCTCGGTGGCGTCGTCCTCGTCGAGATCCAGATCCTCGATCTCCGCCAAAATGGCCATGAGGTCTGTCTCTGATAGCTCCTCGTCTTCGTCTGGATCCTCTCCCGACTCGTCGTAGTACGATTCTTCGTCCTGTCGAGCGGTCCCGGAGCCCGAGACCTGGTAAGCCTGGGAGGACGAGTGAGGAAGAGGGAGAGAGCTGTGGCCTCGTCCGTCCTCGCCGTCTTCTGCGGCCAGGACTGGGTGCGAGGCACTGCTGCCGGGCAGCAGCTTTTCGCCGCTGCCGTAGTCGAGCTGCCTGAGAGCCCAGGCCACGTCTCTGTAGTCTAGGCTGCCCTTGGTGAGGGCGCGCAGGTTCTGTTGACCTTGTGCGCTCAGTCCCGCACCTTCCTCGAGCATGAGGCCCTTCATCTTATCCGACATCCATATGTCATGACTCTCGGCGTCGGCCATCTGCTGATCGCGTCTTGCTACGAACTGCGTGAGACTCTCCTTCTGGCCCTTCGTGCACTCGAACAGTGCTCTGCGACCTGCTCTACGCATGTCGTCGCCCTCTCGCTGGCCGCTCATGAGGTCCATTCTCTCGAGGAACGTGTCCAGCCAGCGGGGCCCGCACAGCACGTTCTCGCTGATGTCTTCGAACTTCGCCTGCATCGTCCAATCGAACAACTTCAGGAAGCGCTCCGACCGCCTCCACAGCTGCACGTCGGTGTTGCGGTTCCACCGCTGGATCGCCTTGTTCCATAGGCGGTAGTGGCCCCATCCCGGCCATGCCGGTGGGTCTGAATAGTCACCTTTTGACCAGCCGCCCTCGTTCCAGTTGTGGTTCCTCCAGCCGCCCTTGTCGTCGTCCTTCCAGTCGGAGTCCCTGACGTCGTCCCGCTTGATATCCTGCTGCTGTCGGCCCCCGGGGCCCCATTTGCTTTCGTCAGGCTCCGGCTGTCCGTTCTTCCATGGATCACGGCCGTCGTTCCAGGGATCCTGACCCCTAGAGCTCTCCTGCCGGCCGTCCTTGGTGCCGCCGTAGTCGTCGCCTGTGCCGGCGGCGCTCTGGCTGAGCCCCGGGCCGAGGTTCTTCACGGCGTCCTTCACGGCCTGCTGGATCAACTGCTTCAGCTGCTCCGTGACCTGTGGGCTCGAGCTTGCTGTGCCTCCGACGGGTGGCGGTGACGCCGTCCCCTCCCCAGTCCCCTCTGACTGGGCTAGGCGTCCTCCGCCGATGACGGCGTACGTCTCGTTCTTCTCGTCTCCTGGGCCAGTGTCATCTGGCCCTGGCATCAATGCCTGCCGTGGATCCGCGCTCTGTCCAGCCCGGTGAGAGCAGCGCCCGCGCAGCCGCCCGAGCTGCCCCCGACACCACCGCCGATCAGCGGTGCCTGGGGGCGCCCATGCATGCCGCGCCGAACACTGCTCCGCTACCAACTGTGGCAGCAGCAGGATGAGCAGATGCATTTTGGCCTTGAGCCAAAATGTGACAACGACAGTACATCATTCCCTGAAACGCATACGAACAATCCTGGCCTCCCGTGAGCTGGAATGTTGGGCTTCACGGGAAAGAACAATATGCTAAACCTATATCGATAAAACAGGAGCGTCTCCACAAAGAGGACAGGAGGAGGAAGAGGAGGAAGAGGACAGGAGGAAGAGGACAGGAGGAGGAGGAGGACGAAGAGGACAGGAGGAGAAGAAAGAGAATGATGCCCCCCCCCCTTCCCCCCATGGGGAAGGGCCGCCGGGCACTTGTCCAGCGGCGAGCGCGAGAAGTCCATGGGCGTCACCTCGACGGGGCGCGGCGGGGGGCGCGCCTCTGACTCACGCCAACCTCTGTGTGCCCCCCCCCCCCCCCTCTTGCAAGACGAGGCCAGTGCTGGGACAAGATCGGACCGGGGCAAAGTGGTGATCTCTGAGAGCCCGCAGTTCTGGAGGATGTCTCGGGCGCCGCGGCCGTTCCAGGGCGCTCCAGAAGGCTCTGAAAGAGTTCAAGAACGCTCTGAAACTGTTCATCACGGTCTTAGCCCCGCCCGACCCTGCCCGCAGGGGGGAGGGGAGGAGGGAGGGGGGAAAAGGGGGGGAGGGAGGGATCACGGGGGGGCAGGAGGGACGAGGGCTCGATTTGGGTGGCGTCAAGCAGCATGCGGCAGCAGCAGCAGCAGCACCACCAGCAGCAGCAGCAGCAGCAGCGGAAGCGTCATCATCAACAACACGAGGAGGAAGTTACGAATAAAAGCTCGACGAGGGCATGAGGAAAACGGAGATCAGGAATGCGTAAAGGAAGATGGTATCAGGAATACGGAAGGAACAAAGAGAGAAGGAGGAAGGGAGCATGATATCAGCACCACCAGTCATACCTCGAGTCTTCTGTCCCAGAGAACGTATCGTCTCAAGCAATTTCGGACACTACCATGATCGTCCTCATACCACCAGCGCCGCGCTGGTTCAATGCGAAGCCCCCCCGAGCTCCTCCGGGGGGGCCGACGCCGGCCTCCCGTGGCCCAAATCCATGAAAACTTGTCGTCGTGACTTTGTCGCGACGCCTAGAGGGGGTCTGGGCCCTCGGCATCAAAATCTACCCCCGAGCCTGTCCCAGGGCGCCTCCTGGCAAGAGTTCCGAGGTGGACCCAACCGTGGCCATCAGAGCGCCCTAGCAGGCCCAGAACCGTCAAACGATCTGCATCCCTGTCATCGTCGCCTTCAGCCGGTTGTAGATTCGCTTCATGGCAGGGCTCCCCACATAGTTCTCACCGGGCTTGTCGTCAAACATGTCCTTGCGCGAAGGGAACCTGTCAGGAGGAAGACGGGGCAGGAGGAGGAGGAGGAGTAGGCGAACGAAGACTGGAGGAGAGGACAAATTCCAGTACGAGGAGGAGGAGACGGCTGGCGGGAAGGAGGGTGAGGAGGGGGGCTACGGGTAATGCCACCAGGCCGGTTGCCTAGGGAGGGGGAGGGGGAGGGGGAGGAGGAGGCAGACGAGGACGAGGAGGAGGGATCCATTCGGTACAAAACTCACTGACAACACACATGAATTAATCCATATGCATATGACCGCTGGGTGGGAGAAGGCGTATGGTGCCGTGCCTTTGGTGTCGGGCAGGCTTTTGGTGTCTAAGCACTTCAGGCTTCAGGTGTGGAAAGGCGTATGGTGACATTCCGTGCCCACCCCGTCCCGCACCCCTCTCCATGATGGGGGGATGGGTGTGCGAGCCGCCCTCCCCTGATGCCGCAGGTACCACGTCAGGGGTGGCTGGGGCTTTCGCAGGAGAAGAAGAGGGTCTCTCCCTTTCCCTCCCCTTCAGCGTTCAGCTCCGGGCCTATTTCTGGCAGGCGTCTGGCAAACCTCAGGGGAACTTAGGAAGCCCACCCGTCCACACCCCCGGCGACCAGAAGGGGACTACTGGAAGCACCAGAACGTTCAACAGCGGCGTCGTTACGACAGTGTCTGGACCTGTTGCAGGCAAGCTTCACAGCGATGGTTTGCACCACATCCTTCTGTTTGACACCCTTGGAGAACAAGGGCGGGGGTAGAACAGAGACCAGAGACGGACCATTGGAATTTCTGGAGCGCCCCACAGCGGCGCCGTTACGACAGAGTGTGGACCTGCACCTGTGACAAAACAGCCGCAGTGCACCGGTGAGCTGCCCAGCAAAACGATGCTCACTCCCAGTCTACAATGCTCTCGTATTCCTTTGGTCCACACCTCCCGCCCGATTAGCTATTTTCATCACCCTGGGAAACGTCAGGCATGAAGACAGCTTGCACCACATCCTCCTGGCCAGAACTCTGGGCGTTTCGCAAAGGGGGCATTGTTTTCCACCACCGTCGACATCTTGCGTGCGTCACCTGGATCCAAATCAAAAGCATGGAGAAATTGGAACCCCCCCCGTACCGACCTTGAGCAACGTCGTAATTGAGTCGAAGGGAAGCCCCTTCCCTTTCCCTTCCCCGACGGGGGGGGGAGGGGGGGTCCCGGGGGGGGTCCCGGGGGAGTCCCGGGTCAGATACGACGCCCCCCCCCCGTACCGACCTTGAGCAACGTCGTAATTGAGTCGAAGGGAAGCCCCTTCCCTTTCCCTTCCCCGACGGGGGGGGGAGGGGGGGTCCCGGGGGGGGTCCCGGGGGAGTCCCGGGTCAGATACGACGCCCCCCCCCCGTACCGACCTTGAGCAACGTCGTAATTGAGTCGAAGGGAAGCCCCTTCCCTTTCCCTTCCCCGACGGGGGGGGGAGGGGGGGTCCCGGGGGGGGTCCCGGGGGAGTCCCGGGGAAGTCCCGGGTCAGATACGACACCTCCCTCCCCCACCTTCTCGTCCTTCTCCCCGTTCCCCAAAACCATCCCACAGCCCGTGCCTCTTGCTGCGCATTGCGAACAGGGTCGGCGGCACCGGCCGTAAGGCCTTCGCAATCAAAAGCATGGAGAAATTGGAAATATCGGATTCGCGCGGCACGTACGGGATGAGTTTTGAAGGTTGCGGCGGGACTGGCTGCGCATCATGTACGAGCAGATACTGGTCGGAGTGCTGGGCTACCTCTTTACGGACCATTGCCGTGCATAGCGAGTCGCACCTGCGCATCATCTGAGCATTGCATCTGTCTGGGCTTCCATGAACTCCTCGGAGCCGAAGGCCAGGTCAGGCTGGCACCCGGGAGAGAGGCCATGTGACACCTCCTGGAGCCTGGACACCGTTTTGTCGTCCGGACAAACCAACTCCCTGAGCTCATCGTGCCCCATCTTTTGAATAGAATAGCTGCGCGAGCGGTGCTAATGTAGGAGGTGCTGCCTGCTGACGCTTACGCTTGGCGCTGGCCAGTAACAGGCATGCTGGAACGGTTCCCTTCCCGGCGAGGAGGGGGCAACCAGTCACGCGGCGTAAGCGTCATCGGCGATGGTGGAGGTGAGGACTTCGGCGTGGTAGCTGGCACCCGCGATGCGATCGGGGACTGCATCGAGGGACACTCCGCAGCAAAGTCCCCGAACACCGCAGAGAGTATGTAGAGGTTTGGGTGCACGCGATCCTGTCGAGTGTACAGGGAGGACGGGCGTATGGTGCCCATCCCCTGGGTACGGAGCCCTGGTGGCTCCTAGCCCAGCAGAGGTGTGGTGGCTTGGGCTTGTCTCTGGGCGCCGAGTCCTATGGTGACCGCGGCTCACTCGCCTTGGTCGCACCCTGTGGTGGCTGCGGCTTCCACTGCGGCGCCTGGAATCGTCACGGCGGCCTGACATTGCGGCAGCGGGAGGCCTGCGTTAATGTTCAGCTGGGGCAACCGAGCACCTGAGAGGGAACCTGATGGGTCATGCTGCGGGCCACAGTAGAGCGAAGAGGGAGAGGGAGAGAGAGAGAAAGAGAGGGATGGGGAAATAAATATATATATATATATATATATATATAGAGAGAGAGAGAGAGAGAGAGAAAAAAAAAGAGAAAGAGGACAGACAGGGGAGCGAGGGAGAAGGGCCCCCCCCCATCCCCCCACACACATACACACACACACACACACACGTCTCTCCCCTCTTGCGCAGTCTCTATGAGTTTACTGAAACCAATACGGAGCACTACACGACCGGCAGGATGCAAGTTTCGTTCACGGTCCTATGAAGAGAATCGTGCCGTGCCTTTGGTGTCGGGCAGGCGTGCGGCCCCTGAGCCCTTGAAGTGTGGAAAGGCGTATGGTGTTGTGGTGCCCTTCCGTGCCCACCCCGTCCCGCACACAGGGACTTCGCACCCCCCCCTCAATGGTGGGGAGGTGGGAGTGCGGGCCGCCCTCCCCTGACGCCGCACCTACCACATCAAGGGCGGTGGTGATCTTCAAGAGAGGGTGCCCCTCCCTTCCCCTTCCCTCCTGCGTCCAGCTCTGGTCGGGCCGCGGTGCCCTGCGTCCCCGCTCTCTTTGTCATGCGACCGCGACTGCCGGTGGCGTCTCTGAGAGCCTCGCGCCAACCCGCAGGCGCGGCCGCGTAAAGGGATCACACCCAGCGCAAAGCCACGCAATGCCCACATCAGCTCCGGCCGCTCCCCGGGGCCTCTTGGTGAGCAGCTTGTACATGATGACGCCGACGCAGTACATGTCCGAGGCGGGAGAGTAGATGCCCAGGTAGGCCTCTGGGGCGATGTAGCCATCGGTCCCGAGGACGTCCTCGCCGCGGACGGGCGCGCGCGAGGGGAGCGGGGGACCGCGAGCTGCCGCGAGCGCGGCGCAGGTCGCGCGCCTTCGGCCGCGGGCGCGCCCAGGATCGAGCGCGGACTGCGCCTCAGCGGCACGCCCGAGAGAGAAGAGCCAGAGGGGGCTGGCACTCTCAGAAGGCTGAGAGGGCCTCCGGCCTCCTCGGCAGCTTCCGGGAGCCCCTTTGAGCCCTCTCCGGAGCCCCTCCGCCCTCTGAGAAAGCCTGCCCCCTCCTCCTTCCTCCCTGGGCGCGCCGCCGAGCGGCACGAGTGCCGCCAGCGCTCCCACGGGCATACGGCTGCCGCGGCGAGTGCGCGCGAGAGCCGAAGCAGGTATAGCAGTGACGGGGGTGGTGAAACGAGAGAACAGCAGCAGTCGAAGGTGGAGGCTTAGCAGGACTCAGGCAGAAAAGAAGGGAAGGGCGACGAGGGAGGGGAGAGGAACAAGCGGAAGATGAGAAGGGAGGATGGAGGAAGAATGGGGGGGAGGAGGACATGGGGGAGGCGGGCGGAGGGAGGGGGAGTGAGAGATGGGGGAGGGAGTGCGAGGGACCCGATGGGGAGGCGAGGTGAGGGACGGACGAACGCAGCGGTGAAGGTGGAAACACAGGATCGGAAGCATGCGCAGGGGAGAAACACGACACCCATACCGCTGCTCCACGGACCTCTCCCGGGGCGCGCTCTGACCAGAATTTCGGGGCGAATCCAGCCGTTGCGACGAGGGCCTCCCAGGAGGCCCAAGAAGACGAAAACGAGGAAGGGTAGCGGCGTCGATACCCTCTGAGAGTCTGACCAGGATTTGGACGAGAATCCAGTCGTGGCGACGAGGAGCTCTCTGGGACGAGCCGCGGTATCGGTGATGGTCGTTCCTCTTCTGAGCCTCTGGGCGGAGCCTGCGCTCCCGTCGCACGCGCAGACGGCAGCAGTGGCCAGCGGCGGCTGACAACGGCGACGACCACCACAACCCTGTCCGGTCCTCAGGCGGGCACCAGGCAACCCGCTGGATGTCCGTCCGCGCGAGAGGCCAAGAGAGACACCGACCACTACCACTTCTGCAACTACAGCAGCGGCGATCACTTTAAGACGGTTCGCTCTTCGTTGCTCGCATGTTACTCAACCTGTATACCCCCAAACCCTCGATACCCACCCTCGTCGTATTCCATTGTGCCCTCCTTTTCGGAGCGTATCCTCAACAGTGCAACCAGGACCACGACGACGACGACGGTGATGATGATAAAGAGACTGATGATAATGCTGGTGATGATGGTGAGCGTGATGATGGTCATGCTGGTGACGATGATCATTATGATGGCTCTTCGGGTGATGGGAGGATGCTGATGATGACGATGGTCACGATGATGATTGCGAATATGGCGGTGCTGATGATGCTGGTGATAATTTTGTGTTGGTGATGAGTATGACGATGGTGACGATGCCCATGACGATACTAATGTTGTTTTGTTGTTGGTAAGGATGATGAACATGATCGTGATGCCGAGGATGATGACGACGACGATTAGTATGATGATGCTGGTAATGATCATAATGATGATGCTGATGATGATGATGATGATGATGATGATGATGATGATGATGATGAGGTCGGTGAGGATGCGATGATGATGCTGAGGCTGCTACTGATGAGGATGATGACGCTGACGATGCATCTGATGATGGTAATGATGTTGTGGATGCTGATTATGCTGATGCTGAGGGTAGTGGTGGTGATGATGGTCACGATTATGATGGTGATGGAGACGATGCTGATAATGAGAATGCGGATGGCGATAATTATGATGCATGTGACGATTGTCATGACGATGATGCTGATGCTGATGATGATGATGATGATGCTGATGAGAACGAGGATGATGATGCCGAGTATGTTGATGGCGATGATGATGGTGATGATGATAAGGATGTTCCGATGATGGTGAGGAGGACAATGGCGATGATAAGGATGCTGATGGGATGATGATGGTGCTAATGATGAACATGATGCTGGTGATGGTGGTGATGATGCTGATGACGATGATGATAATCATCATGATAATCATGATGATGATGATGATGATGATGATGATGATGATGATGATGACGATTCTGATGCTGATGATGGCGATGATGCTGTTGATGCTGCTGATGTTGATGATGACGATGCTGATGATGATGGTGATGATGATGACGATGTTGATGTTGTTGTTGATGATGCTGATGATGATGATGGTGATGATGATGCTGCTGCTGCTGATGATGATGATGATGATGCTGATGATGATGATGGCGGCGGCGGCGCGCCACCCCTACACTCGGGTGACCTCGTGCGTGGTGGGGCAAAACATATGGCTTGGCCGTGGCGACGAAGGCCCCCAGGAGGCCCCAGGAAACGCACGCGAGTGAGGGGCATCGGTATCGGGGTATCGGTATGTCTCTATCCGACGAGCGTCTCCCAGGGCGCGTGCTGACCCAGATTCCGAGGCGAAACTGCCGGGGGAGACCAGGGCCCGCCAGGGAGGCTCAAGAGGGCGACAACGAGGGAGGGGCACCAAGACCAGTGTGCTTGCTTGCCCACTGCATCAGAACTTGCTCCCAAGAGGTCGCTGGACCCCTTCTGGGGTCCATCCTGACAAATTTTTCAAGCCGCGTCCAGCCATAGAGACGGGAAGCTCCGGGAACGCCCCCCGACTCCCGAAACGAAGACGTCGTCGCTGACAGCATCCGTATGCCTTTCTCCGCCGCGAGCGGCGCGGCGCCTTGGACTTCGGGCTTGAGGGCTCCCAGTTCTCGACCTTCGGGCGGGCGCGGCCCTTGAAGCCGCGCGCTGGACCAGGGACCGCCGCGCACCGGGCAGAGACGAGCTCGTGCCAACCCCCGGCGCGAGGCCGAGCTAGCGCATGCGGCCACGCCAACTTTCGGCGCGCGCATCGCGCATGCTCAGCTGCTGGCTGGCCAAGGCTCGGGCGCACGGGGCAACATGTCTTCGTTCTTCTCCAACGACATCACGGGGCAAGCCGGAGGGTCGACGCGCGCCGCCGAAGAAGCGTGGAACGGGAGGGGGGAAAAGATACGCAACAAACACAAGCGTCGCGTGCCGGCCCACCATGGGCCAATCGGCCATCCATGTAAATCGCAGCGGTAGCCAGGAGGGAGGGAGAGAGAGAGAGAGAGAGAGAAATACATATATCTATATATAGAGAGAGAGAGAGAGAAAGAGCGAGAGAGAGAGAGAGAAAGAGCACAAGACAACAGCCATCTCCCTTCCTCCCCTCTTCACTTATGCCCTCCTCCTCCTCGTCCTCCTCGTCCTCCTCCCTCCTTAGAGCTGCGGGGAGTGATCTCCTCCGTCCTCCTCCCTCCACCCCCGCCTCCCTCATCCTCCTTGTCCTCCCTCCTCCGCCTTCTCCTTCTTTGCCCTTCCCATCTCCCCTACTCCTTCATACTTCTTCCTCCTCCTCCTCCTTCTCCTTCCTCGCTCCTCCACCCTCCTCCCCCCACCTGTCCCTCCTCCTCGCATTCTCGGTCCTCGGCGGGGGCGGGGCGGGGCGGGGAAAAGAAGGCCGTGTCGAAATCGATCAGCTTGGCACTGACGGGGCTGGCTATGCTGTCGGCGGACTTGAGCGACACCACGGACCCCTCGCCGCGGGAGCGCGGGGCGGTCGTTCGTCGAGGACGTCCTGATGCCCAAGACGTATCATACCCATCTGCAACTATGACACCAACTGGCCAATTCACCTCGAACTGCGAAATCCCTGGCGTGCTATGCATGAGATGCCTGTGCGTCGCGCGCTACATGGGACCAGCGCGAAACAATACCGAAAGATGCGGAACTGAAGAGGATTGGCATGACAATGTCGACGACGACCAAGAGGAAGAAGGGGAGGGGCCCAGGGGCAATATAAGACGTACAGCGGCCGATATGTTGACAAAGGAATATGCAAAGGACGGCATTGGGAGGGAGAAGGTGACGATATTGCAGAAACGCTCCTACATTAAGACGCATGGAGACTTTCTTCGCCTTTTCCGCGCAATTTTCCGTGCAGGCAACTGGCCTCTTCCGGGAAACCCACAGACACGACGCCAGGTCGGTCGACCACCTCTGGGCTAGAACGTCAAAACACAAGTCGCGGATCACGGACAGATTCTCCGAGGTCGTGGCCACGGGCAACATGTGAAAACAGAAGCTGTCAATGCCGCACGGCGTCTCAGGGGTCGGCGAAAGTGGTGACGCCCTTAGGGGCGTCACCCCACAGACCTCCCAGGAGCACACGACATGGGAGAGTTGCGCAGGTGGCAGCTCCCCAAGGGTCTGCGAGGACTCGCCTGGGCCTGCGTACAGTTCCACTCCGCTGGTCCTCCCAGGAACACACGGAAGCGGCAACAGTTGCAGGTGTCAACCCCGCAGGGGAGCCGCGAGGTCTCGTCTGCATGCGCGTTCACCTCCATTGCACGCGAAACTGGCGACGGTTGCGCAAGTGGCAGCCCCCCAGGAAACGGCGAGGCCTTGTCTGGGCATGCGTGTAACTCCACCCCGCTGGACCTCGCCGGAGCGCACGGAAGTAGAGACAAATGCGCAGTTACAACCCCCTAGGGAGCCGCGAGGTCTCGCAAGGGTCTGCATACAAGTCCACACCGCTGAACCCCAGGAACCCACGAAAGTGGCGACGGTTTCGCAATTGACAGCCCCTGGGGGGTCCCCCGAGGTCTGGTCTGGGTCTGCGTACAGCTCCACCGCGCTGGACCTCCCAGGAGCACACGAAAGTGGCGACAGTTCCAGTTCTCAGCCCCCGAAGGAGGGCTGCGAGGTATAGTTTAGATCTGCGTACACCCCCACTCCGCTGGGCCTCCCAGGAGCCCACGAACGTGACGAGACTTGCGCACGCCGCAGCGCAGATTGCAGCCCCCCAACGGAGCCGCGAGGGCTCGTCTGGGTCTGCGTGCAGCTCCACTCCGCTGAACCTCCCAAGAGCACACAAGAACAGCGAGGGTTGCGCAGTTGGCAGACCCCAGGGAGCGCGAGGTCTCGATTGGACCTGCATACAGCCCCACTCCGCTGGGCCTCCCAGGAGCCCACGAAAGTGACGACAATTGCACAGGTGGCAGCCCCAAAGGAGAACCGCAAGGTCTCGCCTGAGTCTGCGGACACCCCTGCTCCGCTGGACATCCCAGGGGCTCACGGAAGCGACGATAATTGCGAAGGTGGCCTCGTCTGGATCTGCGTACGCCCTCACTCCGCTGGACCTCCTAGGAGCCCACGAAAGTGGCAACAGTTGCGCAGCTGGCAGCTCCCCCTGGGGAAGCCGCGAAGTCTGGTCTGGGTGGTAACGATGCGAGCGATGGGATGAAAAATAAGGAGAGGAAGGGGCGCGCGAGCAGTGCTTTACTCAAAACGAGAAGGCATGCTCTTGAAGCTGCGCTAGTGCGGCCCTGCACCTGTCCACCGACCCCACCTCTGAAATGCGGTGTGCTGCCCGCCACGCCACTGCAGCAGCAGTTGCAGAGCGGGGAGAGGATGCCCTCAATACTCCCAAAACGCCGACAGCGAGGAAGTTAGGGGGAGACGCAGGAAGCGGTGGTGGACGTGGTGCTCAGCAGCGAGCGCAGCAGCGGGCAGTGAGAAGAGTCGGGAGAGATGGTGGCACACTGACAAGATCCCCTTGTTTTTGACACGACGACTGGGACATTTCCTTGGTCCTGGCTTCCATTGTCGCGTCGCCCCCGTCCACTGGGTATCCAGAGCACCTCGGGGCCTGCCAGAGTCCCCTCCTCTTCATCCTCGTCCTCCTCCTCGTTCTCCTCCTCCTCCTCGTGCTCCTCCTGCTGGTCCCGCAGCCCGCGCCTCGGAGATCACGCTTCCTGACGCTCTCACCTTTGGAGAGTCCATGTCTACCATCACGTTCTCCAGCTTGAGGTCCTACGGGCGTGCAAAAGAGGGGAAAGATCGTTGAGCTCGTGGATGGATGATCAGGTATCGAAGTGTTTGGGAATTGCTCCCGCGCGCCCTGCCCCGCCCCCCTGCCATGGCTAGATCCGCCTCGAAAGTGTGGCCACAGCGTGACCCAGGACCGAGACATAGAGGAAGAAGCAGGAGAGCCTACGACGAGAAAAACGCACATGTGGAAATGACGAGTAGCAGGAGGATGACGAGGTCACGAACGGAACAATTCGCCGGCCAAAAGGCCAGAGGCGCGCCAAGATCTCCGATAACTTGATCTGTTTTTTTTTCTTCGCGACCTGATGCAACACCGCCTCGCGCCACGCGGTCTCGCCAGGCTCTCTCGGGAACCACCAGAGCTGCGGGCGCCAGCGGGAGTTGAAAGCTTGAGGGCTATACCATCAAGCCTGGCTGATGCTGAAAGCGTGCGAAGGAACATCAGAAGTCTGGCGGATGGTCCCAAGGACTCGCAGAGTGATGCATGCAGCGGGAGGCTTGTTACAGAAGCCGCCATGCACTGTCAATCAGATGTGGGCCGGAAAGAAAGAGAACGATAACTTGATGTGTATATTCTAATTCGCGTGCGCGGGATCGCCCCTGCGGTTCCCTGGACGAAACATGCCCCACAGAACACCCCCCGGCAAGGTCCCGGCAGACTCGGATCAGAGATGGTTTTGCTCCCGGGGCGGTTTTCGGGGCCCTCCAGATCGCCCCACAAGCGGCCCAACTAAGGAACCTCAAGGCAGCTAGGCGGCTCCAAGCCCACGAATTGGAATGACTGCCCAAGAGCGCTCCAAGACGCCCAAGTTGGCCCCAAGAGGCCACAAAGAAGTCCCAAGAGCGCTCCAAGAGAGCCCCAAAGAGGGCCAAAAGAAGCAACAAACAATCAATGATTCCCATGTGTTTTCCATGTGTTTCGCGTTCTCGCATTTTCGAGCTTCCGACGCCGCCCCAAGACGGCCCGAGGGGCCCCCAAAAGTGCCCCAAGACGGTCCAAGAGGGCCCCAGCAAACCAATGCAACGAAGATCCGTGCAATCGAATGCAAGTTAGCGCAGTGCACTGCAACGCAACCAAGCGCTATGAAACCAATGTCACATCAATGCGCTGCAATGTGATGCAATGATGTAGTGGAGGATGACCCATAGCAACGCATCGAGCAGCATCGCATCATATTGGCAACGAAAATCAACGCGTGAAACACCGAATAGCAACAACCAGGTACGACCTGAACTGGCAAAGACGAAAATGACGCGAGGAGGAACAACTACAAACGAGGAGGAGGAGGAGAACAAGTAAAGGTGAGCAACAAGAGAACAGTGGGAGGACGAGGAGATTCATAGGACGGAGGGACGCGGAAGGGACGATGATGATGCTGCTGCTGATGATGATGATGAGGAGGAGGAGGAGGAGGACGAGGTAGTCCCTGGCTTCTGGGCCATAACTCATCTCTGCGGCGGACGTCCGAGACGACCCAGGCACCCACGGAACGCTATCGGCGAGGGGCAACTGCTGTAGGGCACCCAGAGGCGGGAAAATCGACGAGAACCAGCGACACCGTTCGAACACTTCCTCGGAGCACCGAAACATGGATGAAGAGGAAGAAGGATGAGGATGAGGAGGAATAGTGATGCTGCAGGAAGGGAGGGCCGAACGCTCCAGGGGGCCCGCGCTGTGGAAATCATCCGATTGCGAAGAACCCAACCATATGCAGTTGTGAGTACCGTCGTTGCGGGTATCGCCTTCGGGGGATCTCCTCATGGAGCCATGAGGCATGCGAAGGGTATGGCCGCCATGCGGGCGCTGCCACGGAAGCTTTAGGTGGAACCAAGTATGGGGCCGCGAAGCGTGCGAGGGGTGCACCGCAATGGGGCGGGGTCGCCATTGAGGCCTTCGGTGGAACCTCCTATGGGTCCACGAATCGCTGTACTGAGCAGGGAAACTGCATGCGCGTGTAGCCACTGAGGCCTTCGTTGGAGCTCCGTATGGGGCCACGAAGCGCTGTGCTGGGCGGGGGAGACGCATGCGAGTGCAGCCACTGGGGCCTTCGGTGGAGCTCCATCTGGGGCCACGAAGCGCTGTGCTGGGCGGGGGGGCGCATGCGAGTGCAGCCACTGGGGCCTTCGGTGGAGCCTCCCATGTGGTCACGAAGCGCTGTACTGGGCGGGGGAACCGCATGCGAGTGCAGCCGCTGGGGCCTTCGGTTGGGCTCCCTATTGGACCACGAAGCGCTGAACTGAGTGGGGAATGCGCATGCGAGTGCAGCTGGGGCCTCGGTGAAGCTCCCTATGGAGCCACGAAGCGCTGCACTGAGCGGCGGAACCGCATGCGCGTGCAGCCGATGGGGCCTTCGTTGGAGCTCCGTATGCGGCCGCGAAGCGCTGTACTGGGTGGGGGAACCGTATGCGAAACGCAGCCACTGGGGCCTTCGGTGGAGCTCCATATGGGGGCACGGAACGCTGTACAGGGTGGGGGAGCCGCATGCACATGCAGCCCATGGAGCCTTCGTTGAAGCTCCCCATGGGGCCACGAAGCGCTGCACTGAATGGGGGACCACATGGGGCCTGCGGTGGAACTCACTTATCAAGCCATGAAGCGCTGAACTGGGTGGGGGAACGGCATGCGAGTGCAGCCACTGAGGCCTTCGTTGGAGCTCTGTATGGGGCCGCGAAGCGCTGTACTGGGTGGGGGAGCCGTATGCGAAAGCAGCCACTGGGGCCCTCGGTGGAACTCATTATGGGGGCACGAAGCGCTATACTGGGGAAGGGAACCGCATGCGTGCGCAGCCACTGCTCCTTATGGGGCCACGAAGCGCTGTGCTGGGCGGGGGGGACGCAAATTGATGAGGGCAGAGGCAAGGAGGGGGAGGAGGGAGGAAAGAGGCGGGGGAGGAGGGCGGGAGGCGAAGAGACGCGCGGTGCAATCTTTCCAACACGAGGACCCAACACCACAAGCTGGTTGGGAAAAGCTCTACGTCTGAGGTAATCATGCGATGTGCAACTGCAACAATCCAGGCGGCGACCCGTTTCAGCCGCGTGCATCCTCCTCCTCCCGCCTCCAGCCTCCCTCCTCCATCATCATCCTTCTCGTCCATCCTCCATCCTCCATCCTCCTCCTCCCGCCTTCATCCTCCATCCTCCTTCATCTTGCCGCCTCCATCTCCGCCTCCATCCATCCTCCTCCTGTCTGCCCCTCCTGCTCCTTCTCCCACTTCTCCTTACCCGCGCCTCCTCCCGCTCTCTCCTCCCCCCTATCGCCCTCCTCCCCCCAACGGCATCCTGCCCCCGCGCCTCTTCACTCATTCATTTATTCATTCATTCGTTGGTTCACTCACTCACTCACTAAATCACTCAATCATTCATTCGTTCATTCACCAACAATGAAACAACTTCATATGCGATGAAACGCTGAATCCTGTAACTCAGTTTCATGTCGCGCCCTGGCTAAGGCCAAGGATACTTACAGCACGACTTTGCGAGCCGCGTCATGATGCGAAAGGCGCACCCTCCTCCTCCTCCTCCTCCTCCTCCTCCTCCTCCCTCCTCCTGCTGTTGCTAACGAAAACGCCAAGGGTCTCAGTGTCTCTGACCATGCACGCGAATACATACAAGAGAGGGGAAGGCGGAGGAAAGAGGGGTTAGCCTCGGTGTCTGGCTGGCTTGTCCCCCCTTTTCGGTCCTGGGTCCTGACAAGGATCGAAGGGAACCAGAATCGCGAACAGGGCGGGGCCCAGGTCAACGCCATCGCCAGTGACATCGTGGAGGCTAGATGTACTACTGTAAACCGAGGCTGCGATCTGCTCGTCCAGGCTTCTGTCATTCAAAGCCGTACAAGGTCTGGCTTCAAGTGCTTCCATGTTGGTAGCAAGAGCAGACGGGACGAGATCGGCGGCCAAAGAAAATATACACTTGCAGGCAGTCCAACACCTGCCATAGCCTCCGGCTCTCAGGAAATGACGGATTTAGGGCATGGCCCACACGGAAGGGTCAGCAGAGGATGCCTCGAATGCTTTAAGAACGAAGCTCACCCCCTCGCCGCAAAAGTGAAAACATACGTTAGAGTCATCGAGTCATCTGGAGTCTGCAGAGGGCAGTGAGGAAGGATTCCCGCTGGCCTCCTGAAACCCATGGATTAACCCAGATATGTTTTGATGACCTAGAGCCATCTGCAAGCTTAAAAGTACCCAGTGGTATATCAAATGATCGACGGCTGAGACTCTACCAGACATAGTCATATCCGCGAGCTTCCTCGATACTTATGATTCGTTGTCTGAGCACGAGGACACTGTTACTGTTATCAGAGTTGCTTGGCATGAATTATGTGGCGGATGCCAAGCAAATGCTACACATTAAACTCGTGGCGATCCGTACTGGTGACATGCACGATGTAGACGGGCAATCAGGCAACGCAGGGATATCCCGGGAAGCGCCGTCTGACAATATACCCTGGGACGCTCAATGCGATACTGTTGCGGGATAAGTTTGACAAGTGTGTCCTTATTTATATCTAGGAGCGTGGGCCCGCAGAACCTGCTAGGCGGAATTTCGGCAAGACGAGGGTATCGACCTCTCTGGGCGCGAGCTTTGGCATCTCTGGCGCCTTGCTCGGCCAGGGTTCGAACAACCTCAAGTGCAAGTGGCCTGAGCATTTGGCTCAATCTGGGCAGACAGTACTTCGATCAATGCCGAAGGTGCCTCAACGCTCTAGTTCTGGTATGGGGATCCCTACCGCATGCAACGCACTGCGGTCATTCAGCGAAAGAGGCAGCACGGTCAAATGTAGGGTGGGCATTGGTGCGATGAGCTGTCAGGGCTGCAGGGGACACAGTTACAAAGGAACAGTCATAGCAGACACATGTGGTGTAATTGTGGGGGTGCCGAATTTAGGGGAACTGGAAGCTTACCCCTGGAGCACATCAGCTTGTACATTATCGGAGACCTCAGGGTGCGCTGCTGCTCTAAGAACATGTGTAGGAAAACATTCCCAGCTCGAATACAGAGGCTAAAACAACCATTATTTGGGGGCTGCCTCTGGCTATCATCAGCCACCACCTGGAATCTCCCGTGGAGCAGTTCTCTTGTGAGATGCGAACGAGATCGGTCATCCAATAGACATGTTCCCTCAGCCTGTGGCTCCAGCTACCTGGTGTGTTAGAGATCTGCTCTAGCGATGGTGTCGGTACTGGGTGGCCTGTCTCCGTGCGCCTGCCGAGAAGTCGCCGTGCCCTGAGGCTGACACTGGCATGCGAAGGAAGCACATGTGCAGCCAAATCAACTTTATGGGTCCGTCAGTCAGTCAAGCCATACGCCAGAACGCGTGGGCGAAAAGAGACGATGCCGGCCTGTACTCTCCGCTCTGCGGGAGCAGCGGCACGCCCACCGATTGTGTCAACTGCATCATGTGCGGGTGGAAAAGAGGAGAGGCGGGGAAGAGCGGGCAGGGGGGCTCACTCAAACATCATCTTTCAGCATCCCAGGTCATGTGCGTGGCGGCCTTAACTGTGTGGAGGTGTGCTGCCTCGAGTCGGTCAGCAGCTTTCTTTCCTAGCTGGAGCCAGACAGAGCAGTTATAGAAGAGAAGGAAGGGAAACATCGCTTTTGCATACTTCGGGTGATGTACTTTGTCAAGGTCGGCATTCTTATGAACAGTCTTGCTTCTAGTTGTTCTAGCTTCGTTCGCTCTCTGGGTCCTTGCGTCAATCTCTGGAGCCACACAGTCCGAAGGGAGCTGAAACCCAAGACACTTGCACGGCCTAGTGGGATGAATGACTAGGTCATACTTCGAAATACTGTGGCAGGCACAAAGAGTCCTTGTAGAAATCACTGTTGGCTTTTTTGCTGCCTCTCCCGTCTGTCCTCCCTAAAAATTTGGTGTGAAGACTCTTTTTGTCGCTGCCTCGTAGAAGGCGATGGTGACAGTGGCTAGCGCCTGCTGCCAATTAGAGCAGGTCGCCTCCTCCTCCTCCTCCGGCCTCCTCGCCCGGGTCTCCTCCCGCTCTCTCCTCCTGCGTCTCATCCTCTCCCCTCGTCCCCCTGCCCCTGCGTCTACTCCCGTTCCTCCTGCTACTACTTACTCCCACCCAAGGCGGATCGCAGCGTCTTGAACGCCATGCAAACACATGATCGACCCACGAACCTGGAAAGGAATACAGACATGTAAGGCATGGCAACGTTTCAAAGACACCTCATCGGGCGACGGGCAAATGCAATGCTGAATTGATCGATCTGTATGTACCGTGCCGAGAGCTGTGCTGTGCTGCCCCGTGCTGAATCGCGATGTGCCATGCCGTGATTGTGCTCTATAGCGTTGTGGATCGAGTCCTCCTTTGCATCCGAGTCCTGACCGAACTGAGATGGATCTGAACCTCGAGCTGCCCGAGCACATAGTAGCTGCCCCACAGCTAATTCACAAGGGGGCATGCTAGGAGGACGCGCCGCGGAACGTTCCAAGGGACGCGCCAGGCGACGTGCCAGGGGACGTGCCATGGGGACGCACCGCGGGACGTGCCAAGGGGACGCGTTACGGAACGTGCCAATGGACGTGCCACGGGACGTGCCAGGGGACGCGCCGCGCGACGTGCCAGGGGGACTCGCCACGGGACGCGCCACGGAACGTGCTAAGGAACGTGCCAAGTTGCAATGCTGAGTGTGTCGATCTTTATGTACCGTGCCGAGGGCTGTGCTGTGCTGCGCCGTGCTGAATCGCGATGTGCCATGCCGCGATTGTGCTCTATAGCGTTGTGGATCGAGTCCTCCTTTGCATCCGAGTCCTGACCGAACTGAGATGGATCTGAACCTCGAGCTGCCCGAGCACATAGTAGCTGCCCCACAGCTAATTCACAAGGGGACATGCTAGGAGGACGCGCCGCGGAACGTTCCAAGGGACGCGCCAGGCGACGCGCCAGGGGACGTGCCATGAGGACGCACCGCGGGACGTGCCAAGGGGACGCGTTACGGAACGTGCAAATGGACGTGCCACGGGACGTGCCAGGGGACGCGCCGCGCGACTTGCCAGGGGGACTCGCCACGGGACGCGCCACGGAACGTGCCAAGGAACGTGCCAGGTTGCAATGCTGAGTGTGTCGATCTTTATGTACCGTGCCGAGGGCTGTGCTGTGCTGCGCCGTGCTGAATCGCGATGTGCCATGCCGCGATTGTGCTCTATAGCGTTGTGGATCGAGTCCTCCTTTGCATCCGAGTCCTGACCGAACTGAGATGGATCTGAACCTCGAGCTGCCCGAGCACATAGTAGCTGCCCCACAGCTAATTCACAAGGGGACATGCTAGGAGGACGCGCCGCGGAACGTTCCAAGGGACGCGCCAGGCGACGCGCCAGGGGACGTGCCATGAGGACGCACCGCGGGACGTGCCAAGGGGACGCGTTACGGAACGTGCCAATGGACGTGCCACGGGACGTGCCAGGGGACGCGCCGCGCGACGTGCCAGGGGGACTCGCCACGGGACGCGCCACGGAACGTGCCAAGGAACGTGCCAAGTTGCAATGCTGAGTGTGTCGATCTTGATGTACCGTGCCGTACCGTGCCAAGGGGTGTTGCGCCCACTGAATGCCGAGCGGAGAAGAAAAGGAGGGAGAGCCACTCGAGCCGCCGCAGCTGCACGAGGAGGAAGAGGAGGAGGAAGAGGACGACGACGACCTCGGCCTACCCCCCCCTCCGCGGCGCCAGCGACAACGACGACGAACGAGGAGGCGAACGAGAAAGGGGGGGACGATGAGAAGAAGGAGTAGGAGCAAGAAAACCATGAGGATGAAGACGAGGAGGACGAAGGGGGGGATGAGCAGGACGAAGCGGCCGATGAGGACGAGGAGGGCGAAGGGGGTTCGGAGGAGGGGGGCGGAGAGGGATAAGTGTGAACACCAGAACGTCTGTGAACATGGCGTGGGGTAGGATCTCCACGGCGCGGAAAAACACGCTGCAGCCCCCAAGCGCTTCTCGAGGTTCCGCTCAAGGCCCCCGGGGATCCCCCAACGTGCCTTGGAGGCCCTCTGCGCTGACCCTGGGGGTGCAATGCCCAACGTGACCACGTGAAAACACATGATTCCAGCTCGGGACCACCATGTTAGATACCCACCTGGGTGGCCTGCACACGTGAAAACACGTGGTTCCAGCGCGGGACCAGCATATTGGATACCCTCTGGGTGGCCTGGACACGTGAAAACATGTAGTTCCAACTCGGGGCCACCATGTTAGATACCCCATAGGTGGCGTGGACACGTACAGACACGTGGTTCCAGCGAGGGACCACCATGTCAGATACCCCCTGGGTGGCCTGGACACGTGAAAACATGTAGTTCCATCTCGGGGCCACTATGTTAGATACCACATGGGTAGCGTGGACACATACAAACACGTGGTTCCAGCTCAGGACCACCATGTTAGATATCCCCCACTGGGTGGCGTGGACACATGAAAAGACGCGGTTCCAGCGCGGGGCCAGCATGTTAGATACACCCTTAGGCCCATACATGAAAGACACTGATTCTCCATGGGCACATGAATATCATACAGGGATTCGCACCCCTAGAGAAGGCCGATCTATGGGCACATACGTAAAACACACACATAATCGAACCCCTGGATGGACGCCAATCTATAGGCGGCACATGCGTAAAATCATACGGACTCGTACCCCTACAGGGGACCAATATGTAGGCACATACGTAAAACACACACGGATTCGCACCCCTGGAGAGGGCCAGTCTAAAGGCGCACGCGTGAAAAGGCACGGAGTTGCACCCCTGGATAGGGCAAATCTATAGGCACATACGTAAACACATACTGATTCATACCCCTAGAGAGGACCAATATATAGGCACATACGTACAAACATACGGATTCGCACTCCTGGAGAGGGCCGTTCTGTGTTCTCCTGGGGCCTGACCTGGACATGTAAAACAAGCGTTTCGCTGGAGACATCATTGGCAAATTCTGCGGAACGAGCGTTTCGCTCCAGACACCCACGACGAACGAAAAAAAAGGCCCGTATCTTGTAATTTACCGATCGTGATTTCGAAAACAAGCGTCTCGCATGATACACCCTCAAAAATAATTCCGCCGGCCCTTCCCGACATCGATATTCATCAGGGAATAATTCCGCCGACCCTTCTCCAACATGGCACGGGGGACAGTTTACAAACTAAAAGAGAACCCTGGGCCCGCGCCATTTCCAGGAAAAACGGTGTGGGGGGATCTGGGGGATTCGTCACGTTCTGGCCCGTTGCAACGATCCGGCCATATGCCGCCCATCGCCGCCTGTGGGGATGTCCAAAGAATTCGTCACGGTCTGGCCCGTCGCCGTCCGTTGCCGCCTGTGGGGTTGTCCCGAGGATGATCCATCCACCCCAACGACATGACCGACGCATGCGACTCCACGTGATGAAGGTGGAGTGCCCGACGTGCGCGTTTACATAATCATTCGTGAAAGCAGTTCAAACCATGGGCTTCTCCACCCGCCTCAATCCATCTGCCTTGCTCAACCTGCCTTCATCCATGTTTCAATGTCCCTGACTCAGGGGTCGCGCATCGAAAAAACAATCTCGTCGGATGTCTGGGCTCCACTCCTTGCGGAGCGGCTCACGATCTGCAGAGACAGGCGCTGGCAGTCGCAGCTCTCCTCTCCCCCACCTCGCCCTGTTCTGGCCTTCCTCCTCGCGGTACGGTTCACGAGCGTCGGGGCAAGCGCTGACAGTCGCGACGCACAGGTCCAGAGCGCGCCTGGACGCACTGAGGGCGTTCTGGGACGCTACGACGCGATTTTTCCTGGTCCTGGCTCCGACCGGCCTCCTGCGGCCCCCTCCATGGGGGCTCCGCGGGTGGGGCCTTGTGGATGCGACCGGCGCTGTGCAAGATGTCCAGGGCCAACAAAATCTGCTTCACAATCTCCCGGGCGTCGACGTGCCGGATGTTCTCCTCAACGCTCCCCCGTACTGCCGCTCCGTGTCTTCCTCCACCTCCTCCTCCTCCTCCTCCTCCTCCTCCTCCTCCTTCTCTTTCTGAGCGTCCTCCTCCTTCTGATCGTCCTCCTCGCCCCTGCACCTCCTGGCATTATCATCGTCCTCTGACCGCTCATCATCATGATCATCATGATCATCATGATCATCATGATCATCATCATCATCATCATCATCATCATCATCATCATCATCATCATCATCATCATCATCATCATCATCATTCGAATCGTTCCCCTCTTCGCCCTCCTCTCCCTCCTCTCATCGCCCTCCCCTGCACCTCCTAGCATCCTCATCGTCCCATGTTCGTCATCCTCGTCCCCCTCGTCCTCATCTTCGTCTCTTCTCCTCTCTCCTCCTCCCCCTCCTCCCCCTCCTCCTCCTCCTCCTCCTCCTCCTCCTCCTCCTCGTCTACTCAACGTTCCCTTTATGTTCCTCCTCCTCCTCCCCCTCCTGTTTTTCCTCTTGTCATTCTCGTCGTCGTCTTTCCGTCTTCCCCTCCTCCAACATTATTCCTCCCCCTGTTCCTCCTCCATCCTCCAGCACATTCGACTCCTCTTTCTCCTTATCGTCTCCCCCTCCTCTTCCTCCTCCTCCTCCTCCTCCTCGACATCATGACATCATCATTCGCGTCACCCTGCTGCTGTTCCTCCTTGCCGTTGTCGACCTCCTCCTCCTCCTCCTCCTCCTCCTCGTGCGAGCCTCCTCCCCCCTCTCCACACTCCACGCAGTTCTCGTCCTAATCCTCCTCGTCCTGCTCGTTCTAGTAATCTTCACCGCGTTCATCTGTTTCGTCGTCTCCGCTCCCCCTCCCCCTCCCCCTCCACCTCCTCCTCCTCCTCCTCCGCCTCCTCCTCTTCTTCCCCATCCTTCGTGCAAACAGTATCGGCCATAATAGGGTGCCCTAGTCGATCAGCTCTGTTTCGCAGGCCTAGCTGCTCACGTTTTCGCCTTCAACCCCTGTCTATATGTCTGCTGTGCACCCTTTGTTATCTGCATCCTGGTTGGGTCCGCTCTCGATGCGCCCTCCCTCCCCCCTCCCTTCTTCCTCCTTGCCCCGCTCTCCCCCCGCCAGGAGGATCAGCAGCACCAGAAATACATTACCCTGGCGACGTACCCAACCCCTACGCAAACGCGGGGCGCAAATAGTTTAGGACACTTTATAAGGGTGCGATGACGGAGCGAGGGTTACATATGTCTGCAGACGGAATTCGGGAGACTCGCAGGACACTGGCTACAGGACAAGGACTAGATTAATCTGATTAGTTCCAACCCCTGAGCAACCCTAGCCACCTCGAAAGCGGGCATCGCAGATCGCAGCCCCCCAGGGATGGCGAGGTCTTGTTTGGGTCCGCGCGTGGCGTCACTGTTCTGGGCCCTCCAGCAGGCCTCGAAAGTGGCGACAGTTTCACAGATTCGCAGCCCCCCAGGGATGGCGAGGTCCAATTTGGGTCCGCCCGTGGCGTCACTGTGCTGGGCCCCCCAGCAGGCCTCGAAAGTGGCGACAGTTTCACAGATCGCAGCCCCCCAGGGATGGCGAGGTCTAATTTGGGTCCGCCCGTGGCGTCACTGTGCTGGGCCCCCCAGCAGGCCTCGAAAGTGGCGACAGTTTCACAGATCGCAGCCCCCCAGGGATGGCGAGGTCTAATTTGGGTCCGCCCGTGGCGTCACTGTGCTGGGCCCCCCAGCAGGCCTCGAAAGTGGCGACAGTTTCACAGATCGCAGCCCCCCAGGGATGGCGAGGTCTAATTTGGGTCCGCCCGTGGCGTCACTGTGCTGGGCCCCCCAGCAGGCCTCGAAAGTGGCGACAGTTTCACAGATCGCAGCCCCCCAGGGATGGCGAGGTCTAATTTGGGTCCGCCCGTGGCGTCACTGTGCTGGGCCCCCCAGCAGGCCTCGAAAGTGGCGACAGTTTCACAGATCGCAGCCCCCCGCAGGCAAGACAGGAGGAGGCAAGAGGGAGGCGGGACGGGAGGCAGGAGGGAGGAAAGGAGGAAGTGGAGACCACCCTGCTCTATTCAAAACGAATGCCCAACCAAGGAGGGTTGGGAATAAAGGATGAGGTGGACAAGGAGGGGGAGAAAGACAACGAGCACGAATTAGAGGTGGATGCAGTATGGAAGGGAGGTTTCAAGGGTAAAGAAGAGGAGTAGGAGGAGAAGACAGGGACGACGAACAAGTAGTCCTTGTGGAGCCCTCTGGCCTGCCTCGAAAAAACTCCTTTGCTCCCCATCCTCCTGACATTGCCCTCAAAATCATGAGGGCCATAACTCGGGTCTCCGGCGGTCGTTTGAGACGATCCAGCCGCAACGCTCTCGGCGAGGTGCATCTGCTGGAACGCCCGCCGAGGCTGGAAAACCGCTGGGAACCGACGAACACGCCCGAAAACCTCGAGCCTCGATTCCGAGCCGGTCCCCCCGCCACCCGGGGAGGCACGGGGGGCACCCCCCTCTGAATCCCATCCCTCTCCCCTCCCCGCCCTGGGCGTGAGCGGCTCGCTCCCCCCTCAAGCCTGGTGTGGGCGAACCACCAGACATTCCAGCGAATGAGGAAGCATCCAAGTTCGAGGATCGGGGTGTTAAAAAGATGTTCGGCCTCTCATCGGGGGCGTCCAAAAAGAAGAGGGGATGCAAATCATGGCCCGAGAAACGTGTGTGGACAAGGGTGGGACAAGGAGACGTGTTGGAAGAAGAAGACGAATAATACTACGAATGATACTAGTGATAGTCATGATAATAATAATAATGCTAGTAATAATCCTAACCATAGCAATAATAATAACAATAAGAAGACGAAAAAGAAGAAGAATAAGAAGAAGAAGAAGAAGAAGGGAGGCCGTTGGCCATGATATCCACCACCCTCTAGGCATCACCCCCTTCTTGGACGCCCCCTCTGAGACCTCCTCTGGAAGCCCCCGTAAACGGCGGGAACGCAGGGCGGTGCCCCCTGAGTCCTGACGTCGCGAATCCCGCGCATTTGAATGTTTTGCCGTGCGGAGCTCTGGAGAAGGGACGAGGCCATTTCTGTTGCCTCTTGGGCGGTTTGGTCGCGTCAGACGCAGTGAGCGCCCAGGGAGGACCCACGGAATGACCTACAAGGAACATCAAGCCCCTACCGATGCAAAAGTGGAACTTGTCCCAACGTTCTGACTGAACCTCCAATGCCTTGACAAAATCGAGGCGGGACTTGTTTTGTAATTTTCGGCCTCCGGGGGGGCGCTTCTGGGGCCCCCAGAGGCCGTCAGAAAAGCGGGACCTATCATGCTGAGAGCTGATCCCCAGGCAGAGGCCGAAAGTTCGAGGACCCAACATAAACAAACCCAGTCACCGGAGGTCTGGGAATAACGACCAGCCATATTTCCGCGGCGATACATTCTCGAACCAGACCGATGCGCGCGTGCTCAATGGCCCCAAAGCTGGGCGAAGATCGCACAACGTGAAACAAACGGCGACATACGGACCATAAGAATGTTGACTGAGGGGCTCCAGTAAGCATTGCAAGTTCAAGACGAAGGGGAGGAAGGGGAGCAGGGGCATGCAGGGGGAGATCAGGAGGGAGGAATAGCCCTCGCCGGCGGAGCCCCTGAGACAGAATCTGGCGTGTCCCGTCGCGCCGAAGTGGACACTGGTTTCTGACCCCGCGCACATCGCCCAATCCAGAGGAACCACACACTGCATAAATATGATTCCTCGGAGATCCATGCGGACTCCTGGGATCGGCGCTGGGCGGCGCTGGAGGCGCCGCCAGCAGGGACCAGCGCCGATTCAAGAAATCCGAGTAGACCTCCGAGAAATCACGTTTGTCCTTTTTTCCTTTTTCGGCGATCAGCTCAGTCTTGATCGCTCGCCGCCTCCAGCCTTCATTCTTGCGCGCACGCGCCCGCGCCAGTATGCCCGGCCTGCGCCCGCGCCGTCGGGCGCCAGCAGCAGCCCGCGCCCGCGTCGTGGGTGCTTGACCGGGAGCGCTGGCCCGCGCCCGCGCCCGCATCGGCGCGAATCTTAGCAGATGCAAAACGATATAAGATAAGCTTTGTCCGCCATCGGGGTGCCCCATCCCAAGGCGGCTGGGAGGTTCAAGCCCCCACGGCGCACGTCGACGTGTAAACTCCCCAGCCACCCTGGGACAGGCGTCCCCGACGGTGGAAAAGTCTATCTCCTACCGTTCTCCACACGCAAGAACGACGGGCAACCGCAAAGGGGATCTGGTTCCAGGGAGGGAACATTGTCTTCGAATCGGCGATACATCATCCACGAATCGGCGATAAGCCCCCGATAGCGAATCCACACGGTCCTGGGCGGGGCGGGCTATCTGGCTTCTATAGGCGCTCAATGAGCGATGCAGAACTTACGCATCCCGCCTGAGCCTATTCGCCCTCTTCCGGGCCCGAAGACGCCCTCGCCCGACGCCGCGCCAGCCTCCGCCGCCACGCCCCGCCGAGGCGCGGCAGGCTAACTCCCGGCGCGTGGACGCAGAAACCGTCTGTCCCCGAGATGCCCGCGCCGCACGGCCCTCTCACACCGAACGTTTTCCTCGCTGGGTGCTGGGCCCGCCCTCGCAGATCCATCGGGGCGCAAGAGATGCCGCAGAAGCCGAGGGCCGGGGCCGTGTTCTTCTTTTCGTGTTCGCGCCAACGGACGTCACGGGGGAGATCAAAAACTGGACCTCCGATGTCTAGACCTCTCTGCGCTTCAAAACGAACGCCTGTCGGGCGTTGCCACGACGGCCCCGGATCGATCCTCGTCGCCGACCTCCTCCGCGCGCTGGAGGCGCGCTACCACGCGGCGCGATGAGCCGGCGAGGCGGTGAGGCGGAGCTGGGGCTAAGACGATGTAGTGGCCAGGACAGCATGGGACCAGGAGAAATCGGGGACCGTTCTGCTGGATATATATATATATGTATATATATATATCGATGTATATGTGTATGTATGTATGTATGTATGTATGTATGTATGTATGTATGTATATGTATATGTATGTATGTATATGTATATGTATGTATGTATATATATATATATATATATATATATGTATGTGCGTGCCGGGCGCCGCGGCCGTAAGTAAGTGCCAGTCTTGGCCCTTCCCGACTGTCTCATTGCCCAGGGGACATGCCCGCGCCTGCTACCTGACGCAGGGTAGCCGTTTCTTTGAAGCGCGCGGGCCTCGAACCACTTGCGGGCCTCGGGGGCCGAGCATCACGCGCAGACTTCCGTCGGAGTTTCGGTCGGGGCGTTGCTCGAGGCGTTGAAGGTGTTGTGTGTGTGTGTGTGTGTGTGTGTGCGTGGGGGGGGGGGGGGGGGGGTCAGGAGGAGCAGGAGAGGACGAGGTACAAGATGGTTCTGCGTGCAACGCATCAACAAGCCCACGTACACCCCTGGGAGGGGGCGAGGCCCCCAGGGGGTAGGGCACAGCCGCGCAGGGAGCATCTCGGGCAGCGGGAGGAGGAGGGGGAGGAGGAGGAGAAGGAGGAGCCCAGCGTACCAAACTGTCTCCTTCCGCTGCTCACAAGCCCCGCAGTTTGGAGCACCTCTCCTGATCCGCCGCGCGGATGGAGGCAGACGAAACGAGAGGACGGCGGCAGCCGAGAGCAGCGGCGGCAGCGCAGACAACGAGGGCCCGCCTGTCGCGTCGCACGAGCTGGGCACGATGTGGCAGGCGCGGCCAGGCGGCCGCAGATTAGTTTCAATCCGAAAGCATCTTTCATTCAGAGGATGAGGGGGGGCAGCAGCGGGAGGAGGAGAGACGGGCGTGACCTGCGCGCAGGGCGCGCAGGCGCCAACAGAGGGCCGAACGGGCGACGACAGCAAAGCGAGGAGGGGAGCAGGGGAGGTGCAAGCAACAGCAGAGGCAGAGCTCAGCGGAGCGACGGACGGGGGGGGGGAAGGGCGACGGTGACAGGCCTTTTCCCGCAGGGCACTCACGGGGAGAGGGGCCCGACGTCGACGAGGCCGTCGGAGCGAGTGGCGCCCTCTGAGAACTCAACGTCGTCGAAATCGGCCATGGCGGGGCGGTGCGTGGGGAGGGGGCCGCAATTGGAGATGTACCCGAGGCCACAGGGGTCGGCGGAGTCGCACTCAGGGTCCCCGTCGCGCACGAGGCAGGCCCAGACGAGGAAACTGGAGCACGGGTCGACCACGGAGTAGCCACGCAAATCGAGGTCGTCGCAAGGGTGCACCCCTGTCGAGAGCGCCTCGCAATCAGGGGCTCCACAGAGCCAGACTTTCCCCTCGCAACTTACTCGAGCCTGCAGCAATGGGCTCGAGGAGCACCCATGCACAGGACTTTGCGTTCTGACGGCCGTCCGCCAAAGACGAACATGGAGGGGGCCGCAGTGCGCCATGTGAGACCGCTCCTCGCAATTCACTCATGATGCCTGAAGCGACGGGCTCGAGGAGCACCCGTCGTCAGGACTTAGTGTTCTGACCTCACGCATCGCAGAACCAAGTGGCGTCAGAGACAGATCCTCTCAATTTACTCCAGATGCCTGGGCAGATGGGCTCGAGGAGCACCCACTGCCAGGACTTAGCGTTCTGAAATCACCCGCCGAAGAGCCGCTCGAGACTGGTGAGCGCGGATGTCGCTGCACGAGTGGGGGTGCGCCACCATCGTCAAGTAGGTCCTCCAGTCGACCGACACGTTCGGGCGTCGCGATCAGCGCGGCGGGCGTCGACGGGGCCTGAGGGCGGAGGTCCATCATGACCAGGCCATCGGAGCCCTCCTCCTCCGAGTGCACCCGCGCGCGGGGTGAGGGAGAAGCTGGCGAGACCAGCGGCGTGAGCTGGGGACTAGCAGGGTGACCAGGGCGTTGCGCTTCGCATGCCAGAGGGCGGGGTGGCGGCGGGGAGCTGGGGTCGGAGTCCTCCGTTGTCGAAGCCAGCCGAGCCCTCCACGAAGCCGTCGCCGCACTAGCCAAGGAGGTCGACGAGCTGGAAGAGGAATCCGAGGAACTCGCCGCCCGATGGGGCCATTGAGGCAGGAGCGTGGCGCGCTCCGCCTCGGCGATGCGAGTCGGGTGCGCAAGGCGCATCGCACGCGCCCCAGCCAAGGCACACGCGTGTGTCTGCGCCACGGACAGTGGCCAGTCAGGGAGGGCGCGGGCCTCGTTGTTCATGTTGCAGGCATCCGTAAGCGCAGAGAACGTGGCGAATGAGGGGGCCGCCAGGCCCCAGCGTGAGACCCAGTCCAGCGGAATGGGGCGAGTCAGAGCACGTCTGAGAGCACGGCACATGATCGGGCAGCGCGCGTAGTGTCGAAGAGAACCGATGCGGTGCTCGCAGCCGAAAGCACAGTGCCGTTGGCCATATGGAGAAATGATTCTCGCCGTCGTCGTCCATCCGTCGCACCAGGTACGCAAAACAGCCCGCGCCCAAGAGCACGGACAACGCATCAGGGTAAGTACACAGCTGTCCCGGTCAATCAAGCCGAGGCGGTGCCTCGAGCGGCCAGCAAACCTCTGTCGACGGCGAAGCACCAGATCACGAAGTGGGCGAGCCTCCCGCGACTGCACTCGGAGCGCAAGATGAGCAGCACGCTGAGGGCGAGGACGTTGGCCAGGATCAGGAGACAAGGCCGCGCGAGCAGCGGGGAGAGCGGCCGCCAGCAGGGCATCCAGACCAGAGCCCGCAGGAGCCTGCCCGAGGGCAGCTGCCGCCAGGTTCTCGGCCAGCGCAGGGGTCTTCCAGAAGCCCGGGTACAGTCGGTGCGGCAGGAGCATATCAAGCGTCACGTCGGCGTCCCCATGCTCGCGCATGCGGCGCAGGATGGGCTCCCAGCAGGGGTATGTGAGCAACGCGGCACGGGTGATAGGATACTGGCCGCCGCCAGGTGCGACCACCGAATGATCTTCGGGCCTCCCCAGCGCTCCAGCTGCGCCCAGAGGTCGAGGCCGAAGGTCCCAAGGGGAAGTCGAAGTACTTGTGCAAGAATAGCAAGCTCTGGCTGTAGGATCGACCGAGGATTCCACGTGAACTGCGCAACGTAAGAACGAGTGGTGACGGCCCGTGTGTTGTACAGCAAGGCCGACTGACTGGCTGGGGTGGTGCCTTGGCCAATTGCTTGAGCCCGTAAACGCAACTTCGTGAGCGGCTCGATCCAGCAGCGCTCTGCATTGGCTCCAGGCCCTAGCCATATACCCAAATAGAGCAAGCACGCAACCACTTCGAAGGAGGGCCAGTCGGGGACCCAAAGGGAGATCTCATGGAGGACTCGGGCGGCAAGCTCAGGCGTAAACGGTCCACACATAGGAACAACCTTGCAGTTGCTGACCTTCAGAACGAGGTTGGCCATAACGGAGGCCTTGGACATCGCCCCGAAAACCCGAGGCAGGTTCAGCGACCGACGAGAGCGCGCCACCGATATCGCCCGCGCAGGCCCGCACGAGGCAGAGGGAGGGGTGCTCAATCAGCCGGGCCAGCTCGATGAGGAAATCTGCAGTGCTGAAAGCAAATAAGGAGCCAGAAAGGGCGCAGCCCTGTATGATGCCGCTGTCTATCCAGTAGGCATGCTTAAGAACCCCCTGGTCCAGGGCCACCCCGTCGATGGACGCATGCAGAACCGCGACGAAGTCGAGGAAGCGATCAGGGAGCTCGAGAACCCGAAGCGAGAGGGCCAGAAACTCCTGATTCAAAGACGGGCAGGCCTGGCCGAAGTCCAGAGAGTACAAGAGCGGGGCGCCCTGGGAGCCGCGCGGGGTGACCGAGAGCATCCTGGCCGAGGCGTCGAGTCCGATGATGTGCTCACCGAAGTTGCGGCGCGGTATGAATCCACGTTGGCAAGAGGGGGCGAGGTCCAGGGCGGGTCGGACAGCGCGGTTCATCGTGGCAGCGATGAGCTTGACATCACAATTCCTAAGACCGAGGACGCGCACCTTGTCTGGGGCCCGCTCGCAGTCCCCCGAGCGCAACTCAGTGTCGGCGACGCTTTTCGGCAATAAGATCTGAATAGTGTCCGAGGCTGAGGCGAACAGGGACTGGCCGTCCCCGATCCACTCGAGAGCATCCCAGGGAACCTCCTCCCCGAGCGGATGGGCTTGCCACGCAGCATAGGGCAGGGCATCAGGTCCTGGGGCCGAGTGTTGAGCACCACGTATAGCAGCACGAAGCATGGCACGAGAGGGCGGGGGCAGGTGCAGGTCGCCAGCACGCGGTTGGAGACGTTGGAGGCAGGGGCGAGCAGCATCCGCATCCCAAGACTTCTTCCGAAAGACGGGGCCCCAGTAGTCGGCGAGGGCCTGCGGCCGCTGGGGCGGGTCCGAGACAGACGAGCCATCCGCCAGGCGGACACAGGAAAGCGAGACAACACGCCGATTCAGTGGTGACCACAGCCTCGCCTTGCGCTCCAAGGCCCTGAGCTGTGGCGGAAGCTGAGCCCGATCCCCCTGACGACGGCGGCGCCCCTCCAGCTCAGCCTTGGCCGTGGACGCCGCAGCGGACTGGACCTGGTCGACCCAGGACTGGAACGAGGGCGGGTGGGCGGGCTCAACCTTGCCAGCCCGCGCAACAATCATGTCACCAGCGAGGGGGTGTGATTCCTGAAGTCGCCGCGCCAGAGGAGCATCCTGCCGCCAGACTACCCGCGCTAGCTGGAGAAGAGTGCGAGGGCGGCGCAGACGAGCACGGAAGAGGCGGTCACGGACTTCGGCCGAGGCGATCTTCATCAGCTTTTCGTAATGTTCGAGCTTGACGGGCGGGGGCATCTGGAACCAGCCGGAGGCTGCGATGAGACCCTCGAGGCGCTGCTTGAACGCTGGCTCGTTAAAGATGTGCTTGGGGATAGCTCGCTCATCCTGCACCCTGGGGGCCCTGGGGGCGAAAGAAGCCACCACCGCGGCGTGATCCGACACGAGCTTGTCCGACACTAACGCAGCAAAATCGACAGTCGACGTCTGAACCACCAGCTGACACATCTGCCAACCCGAACGCGAGCAATATAATCGATCGGTGGAGGCTTCTGCATTTCCAGCACGCCCATAGTGCGTTGGGGCGTCACACTCGATCTCCAGCAGCGGGGCGAGGGCCGCCCGCCACTGCGGTGCGCGGGCGTGGTGCTGCCGCGCACTCCGTCGCACCGCCGCTGCAGGCATATGCAGCAAGACGGACTCGTGCGAGGCGAAGTTGAAGTCGCCATTGACTACGATCATGTGCGAGTCAGGCGCTCGCTCAGCAGCGGCTCGAGCAGCGCGAATATCTTGCGCCACACGTGCAACCCCCGCTGCAGATAGCCCGTGATTGTGGATGGTGCAGACTTGCAAACATATCTCTCCCAGACAGATATCAACCCGAAGAACACGGCCAGGTGCGAGAGGGACAGGAGGGAGCACGACCGCATCAGGGTGTAGAGGAGGAAGTACGACTGCGACGCCCCCACGGATGCTGCCACCAGCACCAATGCCACAGAAGCTAGACCGCACAGTAAGATGAGATGCCACTGTGCCCAGGTACGAAACTAGTTGGTGATGATCCTGATGGATCTCTTGAAGAGATAGGACCGTCTCGGGTAGACGAAACTTGAGAAGATATTGTCGCTTCAAGTCGGCCTTCTCCCCGCCAGCTTGAAGCGGCGCCCTCGCGTTCCAGGAAGCGAACCGCAGAGGCTCCCCCAGAGAAGTCGAGGCCTGCAGAGTGGAACGAAAGAGACGGCATATGCTAAAGAGACCACTGGCTGGCCTCCACAGGGTTCGTGATCTCCTTGGCCGCGGCGCGAAGGCGGTCCACCTCCACGCGGTTCTGCTCGAGCTTCGGGATGTCCCAGTAGAGGACGGGTGGTGCGTCGCCGGCCGCGACCTCGATCTGCGTGATCTTGCCCCACCCAACCGAGAGCGCGCCGCGCTCGCGGTCGGAGTAGAAGCGACGCCCAGGGCACGCCTCCTCCACCAACTTGCGGGCCTTGCGGGGGATGATCTCCGGCTTGATCTGCTTGGGGCTCCTGTCGGGGCCGAGGTGGATCCTGCAGCGCGCGTCGCCAGGGGGGGTGATCCAGAACTCCTCCCATTCTTTTCCTTCGCGGAGATTGGCGAGGGCGCGGTCAACTTTACGGGGGGCGACGCCGATGGGGCCACCGAGCTTGGTCTCGAAACGCTTGCAGGGCACAGTGCCCTTGGCCACGATCTGGTACTCATTGCTCTCATTCTCAAAACCGGTAGACGAGAGCCACGGAACAAGAGCCTCACGCACACTGTCGACAGAGGTGGGGCGCTGGGAGATGGCAACAACCAAGGACGGGTCAACGTCACGGTTGAAGCCAGCAGGAACTTGGCGTTGCGGACGAGGACGAGCTTCGGCGAGGACGAGTTCACGCCGAAGATCAGCCATCTCGCGGCGGATGTCCGCGAGGTCCTGGTCATGCTTGGAGAGGCTGGCGGTGTGGGCGTCGAGGATGCCTTTCTGCTGGTCGAGCTGGGCCTGCATCCTGCGCGAAAGAGAGCCCAGCTGTGGTGCCGCAGTCCTGCGGACATCGGCCTCGAGGGTCTCGGTCTGGGCCTGCACCATGGCCCTGAAGTTCCCGACCGCGGCGAGCAGGGGCTTGTTGCTCTCAGCGGCCTTCTTGGCGATGGCGTCGCCGAAATTGTCTTTGATGGAATCGAACTCGGCTCGGCACAGCTGGCGAACGAAGTCCTCGTATCCCTCTGGCATCTCGTCGTCGAATGCAGGAGGCAACTCAGCATCATCATCCCCATCAGCAGCGCCACACGGCAAGGCCCTGCGCTTCTGAGGGTTGGGGTCGGCGACACGCGACGGGGCAGCACCTTTGCCAGGGTCAGCTCCCTTGCCCGACCTGAGCTCCTGGGTCGGGAATGTCAGGGCAAGCTCCAGCTGCTCCATCTGGGAGGCCGAGAAGTCATCAGCACGGGCACCCGCAGCCATCACAGACGGCAGTGACGGAGAGGGAAGAGATGTGGCGGGGGCCCAACTCCCGCAGTGAAGGCACACAAGGACTGCAAGGAACAGGAGGAACGGATTGGTGAGTGGCCTCAAAGCGGAACCTCCCTCGGGCTCAGATGTCGCCCCGGAAGACTCGCGGTCGTCGGGGCGGTTCATTGCCTTGAGCCAAAATGGCTACGGAGGAGGAGAAGGAGGAGGAGGAGGAGGAGGAGGAGGAGGAAGGACGAAGAGGAGGAAGATAACACGAATAAGGCTGAGGCAGTTGAGGGTCTGTTTCTAGCTGCAAAGAGTTAAAGAAACGTGACCCCTGGGTAATTTACGAAAGCAGGCCCCTTGAACTTTTGCCGGTCTTGGGGACGTGCCTGGGGTGCCCCGTTACCTGGCCAGTTCCAAGTGGACGGGTTTCCCGCTAGCACGGGAACCCTGCTCAGAAAGGTTCACTGGCGTACGGTCGGCGCTGCGGCTGCGTTCCCCAGGGCGCGCGGGACAGACAAATGTTGGCCAAACGCCAACTCGACGAGAGAGCTCCTCCACCGCCCCCTACGTACCCCCAGCCCCCCTCCTCCCCTCTGGATCCGACGCTCCAAATGCGCGCCGCTGGGTGGCTACTCAGTTTCGTTTGACCTTTTTCCCCTTCTCCGCGGCAGGCATGTCAGCTATGATGTTTCCACAATTTTGTCAGCTATGATGTTTCCACAGTTTGGAAATATATAGCACCCCGCAATTGCGGATAAGAGTGAGGGGGCGGGCGCGGGCGACGCGGGCGTCGAGCCGGCGGACCTCGTGGCCCTCACCTTCCCTGTCGATGGCGCCCTCCTCCTCCTCCTCCTCCTCCTCCTCCTCCTCCTCCTCCTCCTGCTCCTCCTCCTCCTCCTCTTCCTCGTCCGTGTCCTCGTCCTCATCGTCGTCGTCGTCCGCCTCCTCATCCTCCACGTCCTCCTCCTTCTCCTCCTTTTCTTCCTCCTCCTCTTCCTAACAGGACGCGGAGGGTGCCACCCTGAACGGATGCAAAAACAGCCCGCCGCAGGCGCCGAAAAATCTGATTTTGTACACTGAACGCGGTTTGGGTCGCAGGTTCCCCACCTGGAACGGATGCAAAACAAACCCGCCGCAGGCGCCGAAGTTTTGGCTTGCTCGGTGAACGTAATTTGGGTCGCGGGTTGGTCGCGGGCTCTCCACCTCCACCTGGAAGAAATTCAAAAACAGCCCACCGCAGGCGCCTAAAATTTTGATTTGCACACTGAACGCGGGTTGGGTCGCGTGCGGGTCGCATGTTCTCCACCTGGAACGAATGCAAAAGAAACCCGCCGCAGGCGCCGAAACTTTTGGGTGGGCGGCGGGGTGGTTCACTGGTGGTTCGCGGGTGGGTCGCGGGCGCAGTTTGGGTCGCGGGTGGGTCGCAGGTTCTCCACTTGGAACGAATGCAAAAGAAGCCCGCCGCAGGCGCCGAAAATTGTGGGTGGGTCGCGGGGTGGGTCGCGGGTGGGTCGCGGGTGGGTCGCGGGTGGGTGCCGGTGGGTCGCGAGAGGGTGGCGGGTGGGTCGCGGGTGGGTCGCGGGTGGGTCGCGGATGGGTCGCGGGTGGGTTGCCGGTGGGTCGCGGGTGGGTCGCCGTGGGGGTCGCGGGGTGGGTCGCGGGCGGGTCGCGGGGTGGGTCGCGGGTGGGTCGCAGGTGGGTCGCGGGTGGGTCGCGGGGTGGGTCGCGGGTGGGTCGCGGGGTGGGTCGCGGGTGGGTCGCAGGTGGGTCGCGGGTGGGTCGCGGGGTGGGTCGCGGGTGGGTCGCAGGGTGGGTCGCGGGTGGGTCGCGGGTGGGTCGCGGGGTGGGTCGCAGGTGGGTCGCGGGGCGGGTCGCGGGTGGGACGACGATAACAACAAGTAACAAACAACAAACAACAAACGAACAACAACAACAACAAAAACAACAACAACAACAGCAACAACAACGAGAATCCGCATCGCGGAATTTCACTTCAGCCACGCGCCCAGGGACAGTGAATGACCGTTCGGTTCAGCCCCTCACTCTGACCAATACACGTACATCCCCATCTCCTCCGGAACTCAACAGTGTGACATATTCGAATATTACACTGCGCAGAACAAGCACTGCGACTTGGCAAAGCATTGAACTCTTCAGTAGGACCCCCTCTTGCTATGCGCTGCAATATTGGCTGGCAGATATGACGACGGCATCTTCTAGAACCTTTTGTTGATTGATTTGTATTGTCAGTGGAACCATGTGGCTGCTCGTCTTTTGCTGTAGGCACACTGTCAAATCCGTACGCTTCTTCGTTTGTTTTCCATACGAGTCCTATAAGATCCGTCGTGGAAAGCCACTACACCCAACTCGATCCAGTCCGCTAGTTTGTTGCGCACTTCGCGTTCGCGTGGTGTGCTGAAACATCGCAGAATATTTCCACTGCTTAGGTAGACCCTCCCATTTTGTCACTCAAACCAAACTCGTCCACTCTGTTGCACCTATAAAGTTCAACTGCCCCATGGTCTTTCAACAACTAGATTTCTTGATTCGCGAGTTATACGCCTGATTGAGAAAAGTCTACAACTGGGTCATGCCATTACCTTTTTCTCGTAAGTATGCCATCGATGCTTTGCGTGTCGAGCATGACGTGACATGCATGTTCTCAATCAATAAGCTCTTCGACGTGGAGTGTTCGTGCATTGGTCTCCACTATACCGTCCACCATTGGTGGTGCTTTCAATCAGTGCGATATCCATGTACCGACCGGCGGCATATGCACATATGGTGCCTCACGGGCGGGAGTCTCGTTTTTCGAACGTGCGCCAATCCAACGGTTTGCAAAGTGGAATGGGGCTCTGCTGGTAAATCTCTCATGATATCCAGTTTGGCCTGCTGTACTTTTCCGGCATGGGTCCGATGGATCCTGTCTCTTCGTCTGGAGGTGGTGCTTTTCAAGGTCATACTCTCTGAAAGAAGAGCACCAAAAAACATGGCTTCGGTAGGCGGATCGTGTACCTGGGCTCTACCGACTCCCTTTGCCCCCAGAAACAATCTGGTGAGGGCCTGTGCAGGCTACTGCGGGTACGATCCTACACTCCTGATGGCTGGGATGCGTTCGATGCCCTCAAACAGCAACCTGAGGAGGAGGAGCATAAGAAAGACGAGGAGGAGGAGGAGGCTTCTCTCCTGCATCATCGTCTCGAACAAATCCTGGCCGTCCACCTTCTCCATGGCCACGTAATAATTCCTGGCGAGCCGTCCTCCCCCTCCGCCTCCTCCTCACCTCGCTCTCTCACTACCAATCCCGTCTCTCCGCCTCCCTCGCATCCTCCCCTTCCCACCCCACTGCGACCCTCCCCTTCCCCCTGCAAGCGCGAGAGCGCGCGCGCGCGCGCCTGCCAGGAGGCGGGTCCTTCGCGGCTGGGAGCACGAAAAAACGATCGACGATGAAAACTCGTCCCCGAGGATTCCGTTCTGCACTGGCAGAACGCCACGATCCCAGCCGTCGAACATGGTGTGACCGGCAATGGCGGCAGCCGCTTGCGTGGGGTGTTTGTCTGAATTGATCGGCATCGCCGTCGTCGGTGCCGTCGTTGTCTGATAAACTCGTTTCCGTTGTGAGACCGCGGTTGTGTGTGCCCCTTTTCCTGACAGTCCCCACCACGAGTCGCATTATATTTCCGTCCCTACCTGCGCACAGCGTAGACATGCCACGATGCTGTTGATAAGTCCTCACGAGCCGATCATGTAGAGGACTGCAGGCGGAATTGATCCACTGAAGAGGCGTCAGCGGCTTCCCACTCGAGGAGGACGCGGAGGCTGACCAGGAGTTGGCAGCGCCCCCCCCCCCCCGCCCCCATGCGGGTCTTATCGGTCTCGATCACCTCCATCAACTCGCATATGACCTCGCCCGGCGAGCAAGATCGAGTTGGAGGGGGAGGAGCAGCAGGCTGCAGACCTTCATTCTTGGAATTACAATTTCCGCCCTCCTGGGGCCAGGACCGCCGAAAACGATCCTGCACGAAAGCAACTGCTCAAAGGACAAAAAGAGGCTTGGGGACCACATATGGAAAAAAAACAAAAAAAAAAACATCGGAGGCCCGGGTATTCAATGGGAAGAAAAACACGACGACCAGAAAGGAGGTGTAAGAGGGGGGGAGGGGATGCAACAAAACACGGAGGGGGAGAAATGGAAACGAGGGGATACTCATACGGATATGAATCCCCATGCGCGGTGCGGCCCCGGCGTGGCTGGAGAAAATTGCGCCGTGGCGCAGAAGAGAACACCCACCTTCTCAATATTCTCCTTCAGGCCGCGGTGAGACAGAGGGTGAGAAGTGATTGACGACGGCGATGACGAATGAGGACTACGATGGCGATTCCCATTACTATGCTGGTGAGACGGCAGAGGAGAAGAACAGCGAGGAAGATGAGGGGATGCCGCGGCAGGAGCGCTGTTGTCGTCGCAACCTTTGCTATCCGAGCTGACGAATACACCAAGAACTGCGAATCGCGTGCATTGCTGTAGAATGGCGATGCGGACTTGTCATGTTTACAGCTTCATTCGTCTCGATCCGAAATTGGGTTGACGGTGTCATTGTGGGAAGTACGTCGTTGCAATACTTGGCATTCATCTGGCATCAAATGAACGATTCACTACTTGACCAGCGCTGACACAAAACATGACCCTCTTAGAAAACACGTTGCTGATACCAAACGCGGACTCACGGGGGGAGGGGAAGGTAGCAGAGAGAATAGGGGACAAGCGGATAGGAGCAAAGCGCCATGCACTGACACACACACACAAACACAATATCGACGATGCCTATGAGCATGGCACGAAGACAACATGGCCTGCAACTCATCTGATCATCAGAGTTTCCACTCGAATCTGACAGGGCACAGCCCAGCTCGTCACGATGTTCGCCAGTCCATCCCCACTAGTCCTGGAACTCCTGGTGGCGACTGCGTGTCCCCAACACTACTGCAGCATCTGTGCACAACCTGACATGTGCTGCTGGCGTGGGTTCTGGGCATTGAGCGAGGCGTTGGAGACCATGCAGGCTGCGACCGTTCCCAGACATGTAATGATGTGCTGGCAGCATACTCTCATCTTTTGAATTCACCGTCCGCAACTCACACGAAGGACGAAGCACGCCCGCAGTTGGACACCGTCTAGGGTGCTGCGGGTGCAATATTCTCCCCTGGCCGCAGTCTTCTCCTCGATGGTCTTCCTCATCCTCCTCATCATGCAGGGGGGTCGAGAAACCTCCAGACCTTCCTCAGAAATCTCCCGTTCCTTCCGAGGACCACCGAAAACATCTGAAGGCCTCCAGAAACCTGCAAAGACCATCTGGAAAGCTTACAAACATGTAAACATCCCCCCCCCCTATCCAACGACTCGATTCCTAGGAATCGTTTCTCGAAGATCGCCTTCTCATCCTGACTCGCTTCTTGACGGCCCTGGGCCCCAGAACGGCCCCCTGGAGACTGAAACTAATGAAAAACCTGTGGCGCGACTCTTTCGCGTCGGCAGGTCTTCAAGACCACGGCCTGGAAATCTAACCGAAGATCAATGCTGAGATCCGTTGTGGCCAATAATTCGAGGCGGACCCAGCCGTGGCCAAAAGCTCGCCCCAGAAGGCACAAGAACGCAACAAACACATACAGGACCTACAATCCTCGATCCTCGTCCACAACCTCGATCCTCGATTCCAGATCTCGATCCTCACCACAAATCTCTATCCTAGTCCTCCTGCTCGTCCTCCTGGCTGAGGTGGGTTGCGGCCTCGCTCTGCGGCATGTTCAGCTGCATCTCCATAGTGCCTCGCCATTCGCCCTCCTGGCAGCGGCTGGCCCGTTGTCAAGCCGTGCCGCCTCCTCCTGCCTACACCCCCTCGTCCTCCACCTCTCCACACATCCAACGTCTTGACCAGGTATACCCGGGACTGCGACCCACAATGCCCCCCGGTTCCTCTCCCGGTGTCCTCCATTTCGCGAACTTCCTACCTGCTCCACTCCCTACGGACCCCCCCGCTCCACCAACCAACCAACCCTCTTCAAGATAGCATAGAAATCAAATCTCTTCTAGATTCCTCTTGTGTCCTCCAGACTACTCAAGATCTCGAATCTCCGGAATTCTCAGAATTCCCCAGATTCTCAGGAGCCCTTGAGAGTTCTCCTGATCCTTTACAATCCCATAAGACTTCTGAAAATCCCCAGTGTCCCTCGGATTCCTCTGGGCCTTCAAGATTCCTGCTGATTCCTCCAGAATCCACGGATTTCCTGAAAGCTCCGTAGGATTCCAAAAATGCCCCAGGATTGCCCAGGAGTGGGCGGGGTTTCTTTGACTTTTCAGGACTCCTCGGGATCAGCCTTAGGAGGCCACAAAGCTGCTCAGGCTCTCGCAGAAAATCCCCGTGGTTGCTTCAGGATTATCAGGGTTCCCTGGCATATCTCAGGAATGCGGAGGACATCTCAAGATTGATCCCCCCTGGTATCTCAGGATTCCTTCGATTTCCCTCTGATATCTTGCGGATCCCTCAACATGCTTCCATAAACTAAACTATCGGGAATCCGCCAGAATCGTTCAGATTCCATTCGAATCATCAGGTTTCCCTTGGATTCTGGAGGAACCCAACCAAAAGAATTCCCACAATTCTGGCGAACCTCGGAGGAATTCAAATACCCCCTCCAGTTTCCTCAGGGAAGCTCAAGCCTCAGCATCCCCAGGATTCCACAACATTTTCTGCGGGAGAACATGATCGACCCACGAACCCGGAAAGGAATATAGGAATGTAAGGCCTGGCAACGTTTCAAAGACACCTGATTGGGCGACGGGCAAATACAATGCTGAATGTATCGATCTTGATGTACTGTGCCGACGGCTGTGCTGTGCTACAACGTGCTGAACTGCGATGTGCCATGCCGCGATTGTGTTCTATACATAGCGTTGTGGATCGAGTCCTCCCTGGCATCCGGGTCCTGTCCGAACTGATCTGGATCTTAAGCTCGAGCTGCCTGAGCAGATGGTAGCTGCCCCAGAACTCACCGACAGAGGGGACATGCCAGGAGGACGCGCCGCGGAACGTCCCAAGGGACGCGCCAGGCGACGTGCCAGGGGACGTGCCATGGGCACGCACCGCGGGACGTGCCAAGGGGACGCGCTGCGGAACGTGCCAAAGCCGCGGGACGTGCCAGGGGACGCGCCGCGCGACGTGCCAGGTGGACTCGCCACGGAACGCGCCAAGGAACGTGCCAAGGTGCAATGTTGAGTGTATCGATCTTGATGTACCGTGCCGAGGGCTGTGCTGTGCTGGGCCGTGCTGAACTGCGACGTGCCATGTCGCGATTGTGCTCTCTCTCTCTCTCTCTCTCTCTATATATATATAAATAGCGTTGTGGATCGAGTCCTCCCTGGCATCCGAGTCCTGTCCGAACTGATCTGGATCTTAAGCTCGAGCTGCCTGAGCAGATGGTAGCTGCCCCAGAACAAATCGACAGAGGGGACATGCCAGGAGGACGCGCCGCGGAACGTCCCAAGGGACGCGCCAGGCGACGTGCCAGGGGACGTGCCATGGGCACGCACCGCAGGACGTGCCAAGGGGACGCGCTGCGGAACGTGCCAATGGACGTGCCGCGGGACGTGCCAGGGGACGCGCCGCGCGACGTGCCAGGTGGACTCGCCACGGAACGCGCCAAGGAACGTGCCAAGGTGCAATGTTGAATGTATCGATCTTGATGTACCGTGCCGACGGCTGTGCTGTGCTGGGCCGTGCTGAACTGCGATGTGCCATGCCGCGATTGTGCTGTATAGCGTTGTGGATCGAGTCCTCCCTGGCATCCGAGTCCTGTCCGAACTGATCTGGATCTTAAGCTCGAGCTGCCTGAGCAGATGATAGCTGCTGCCCCAGAATTAATCGACAGAGGGGACATGCCAGGAGGACGCGCCGCGGAACGTCCCAAGGGACGCGCCAGGCGACGTGCCAGGGGACGTGTCATGGGCACGCACCGCGGGACGTGCCAAGGGGACGCGCTACGGAACGTGCCCATGGACGTGCACTGCGCGACGTTCCAGGGGAACTCGCCACGGGACGCTCCGCGGAACGTGCCAGGCAACACGCCAAGCTGCAATGCTAAGGATATCGATATTGATTTACCGTGCCGAGGGCTGTGCTGCGCCTGGGCGACCTGGACACATGAAAACACGCGTTTCGCTGAAGACGTTCTCAGCACATCATCATGCTAGACATCCTCTGAATTCGGGTCCCCAGGAGAGGACAATCTATAACACAAAATTACCCCAGTGCGACCATACCTAGAAGTTGGAGCCCCTAGGAAAGCAGCAGTAGTTGCTATGCTATGCTATGATGCTATGCCGTGCTATGCTATGATATGATATGTTATGCTATGCTGCGCTATGCTATGCTATGCTATGATAAGCTACGCTATGCCATGCTGCGCTGTGCTATGCTATGCTAAGCTATAATGTGCTATGACATGATATGCTGAGCTGCGCTACGTCATGATATGATATGCTATGCCATGCTATGCTATGATGCGTTATGTTATGCTATGCTATGCTATGCTATGCTATGCTATGCTTGGCTATGTTATGCTATGCTGTGCTATGCTAATGCAGCGCTGCGCTATGCTAAGCTAAGCAAAGCTAAGCTAAGGGGACGTAACTGGGGGAACCGCGGGGCGGATACTGGGGGAGCCGCCCGGGCCGGTTCCCACTGCCCGGCCCTTTAAGCCAAGAGAGTAAGAACCCTTCTAGGCAGAGCCTAGGTCGGGAAGTATCCCAGTGCGACCCTACCTAGGAGTTGGAGCATTTGGGAAAGCAACATCTAAAACTACACCGACAGCTACATTCACATCTACACCTGCATCTACATCTACATCAACATCAACAGCGCTATGCTGCGCTGCGCTAAGCTAAGCTAAGGTAAGCTAAGCCATGCTAAGCTAAGCTAAGCTAAGCAAGACCCGGCTAAGCTAAGCTAAGCTAAGCTAAGCCAAACCAAGCCAAGCTAAGCTAAGCTAAGATAAAATAAGCTAAGCTAAGCTAAGCTAAGCTAGGGTAGGCAAAGCTAAGCTAAGCTAAGCTAAGATGCGATAAGCTAAGCTAAGCTTAGCTTGGCTTAGCTAAGCTAAGCTGGGTGAACCCAGGGGGCGCAACTGGGGGAACCGCCGGGCGGATACTGGGGGAACCGCCCGGGGCGCTTTCCACTGCCCGGCCCCTTTAAGCCCAGAGAGTAAGAACCCTTCTAGGCAGAGCCTAGGTAGGGAACAAGCGTTTCGCTCGAGACATCCTCAACACATTCTGAAAGCATAGCGTTTCGCTCGAGACATCCTCACAAATAATTCCGCCAGCCCTGCGCGACCTAAGCAAAATCCGCCGGCCCTACAGCCGTCAGAGCCGGGGGTAAATTATCCCAGTGCGACCCTACCTAAGAGTTGGAGCCCCTAGGAAAGCAGCATTAGTAGTAACAGTAAAGCTAAGCTACAGCTAAGCTAAAGCTAAGCTGAAGCTAAGCTAAAGCTAAGCTAAAGCTAAGCGAAAGCTAAGCGAAAGCTAAGCTAAAGATAAAGCTAAAGATAAAGCTAAGCTGAAGCTAAGCGAAAGCTAAGCGAAAGCTAAGCGAACGCTAAGCTAAAGCAAAGCTGAAGCTAAGCTAAAGCTAAGCTAAATCTAAGCTAAATCTAAGCTAAAGCTAAGCTAAAGCTAAGCTAAAACTAAGATAAAGCTAAGGTAAAGCTAAGCTACAGCCAAGCCAAAGCTAAGGTAACGCTACGCTAAAGCTAAGCAACAGCTAAGCTAAAACTAAGTTAAAACTAAGCAGAAGCTATGCTAAAGTTAAGCTAAAGCTAAGCTAAAGCTAAGCTACAACTACAGCTAAAGCTAAAGCTGAAGCTCCCAGGGGACTGGGGGAACCGTGGGGCGGATACTGGGGGGAACCGCCCGGGGCGGGTTACACTGCCCGGCCCTTTAAGCTTCCGAGTAAGAACCCTTCTAGGCAGAGCCTAGGTAGGGAACACACTAAAAGAGAACCCTGGGCCTAAGCCTTTTCCGGGACAGATGCTCCAGATTCTTGAAAATTCAAAACGGTTCCTTCAGACCCGCCCAGGCTTGAACACATCCAACAAACAACCGTCCTCTCGAGAGCCGCCGGCGCGGCCGCCCCAGACAGGTGCGGGCGCGCGAGGGGCATATAACGCCGTGCATGCGAAGAACATCGGAAACAGGATGGTAGGAAAGGGGGGAGGGGGTGGGGGAAGGGAGAGGTGCGCTCTGAGGTGACAGGCGGTGTCCGGAGGCTTCCTCACGACCCCAAACATGCACGAACACCCAAAAAACCTCGGTCCGCGATCCTTCTCCTCTCCTCCTTCTCCACCGACCTCTGACTTTTTTTCTTGAACTCGCGGGCTCCGGAATGCGCGCTGCCTTTTCGGGGACCAGCTTCTCGTCCCAGCTGCCGAGTCCCACGAATGACAGAAACACGTCCCCAGCATAAACTATCCTTCGGTTTCCCCTTCTCCGCCTCCTCTTCCTATTACTCTTCCTCTTCGAGCTCCTCGTCTAAGCCTCGACATTCCCTCTCTTCCTCTCCCTCTCCTTCTCCCGCGGCCCACAACGGCGACGGAGCACCGCGACGCTCCAGGTCGGCCAGCGCAAGCCGCCACGCGCGGCCGCATGAAGTGTCCCTCTCTCTCTCTCTCTTGCTATCCTATCTCTCTATGTATCCCTCCTTCTCGCTTTCTTGCTTTAGTTATCCCTCTCTTTCTCTCTACATGGGTATATCGATCCATATATATGTA